AATAAAAATTAAGTTAACGATAAAGGCATTGCTCTAAAAATTATTCTGAATGTAAAGGTTTAGACGACAGCTATAACAATAAAATGTAGAGAAACGATATTGTTCGTCAATCTTTGATAACAATTTTTTCCCAGCTAATAAACGGGGAAAAAAAACACTGACAGCCAGTCAGATATCATAAAAAATATTTCAAGGACTTTTCAAGGATTAAAAACTACCCAGCAGGCACACAATGTTATAGGATGTTAATATTAGGTTAGATTTAGGTTGTGGTGTCAGGTAACCCAAATTTGTAGCCAGTGTCTAAGGACATGTTAAAGGACGTTGATAATTGGTTGATTTTAGGTTGTCTTGAAAAGTGACCAAAATCGAATGTCAAACCAATGTCATACTGACATCAAATTCGTCAGGTATGGCAACCAAGATTCAACGTCTGATAGACATCATAGCTGTAACGTCCACACGTCAAGCTGTAACATTATTACACATTGATATTTGGTTGTGTTTTTTAGGTTGCGTTGGAAAGTGACCAAAATCCAATGTCTGTCCGTTGTTGCACACTGACGTCGGGTTTTGACGTCAACCTGATTTTCATTTCCAAACAAAATGCAATATGCTCTGATGTTGGGGTACAATGTCAATCTGATGTCATGTTGACATCATGTGCCTGCTGGGTATCTTGAAAACAATTGGTTGGCAGAAAAAAATAAAGTTAAAGCAAGCTACACAACCCAGAATAGCAAGAAAAATAAAAGTGTGCAGTATGTAGTATAGTTTCAGCATCTTTGTGTTGCCTCTTTGGCGATGCTGAGGAAAAATAAAGTGTTTTTATTCCACTACACTGACTGCGATCCCTAAATTCAGTTTGATTAGATAAATTACACAACCTGGATTCACTGGTCAGATGCGCTAGTACCACACTATGGACATTTGCTGGAAACAAAGCTTAATGCTTAAACAATCATAAACTAAAAATTAACAGATAAATATCGTTTGCTAGTGCGGATACAAAAATAGGTATCGGCCTTAGTGTGAGCAGCCAATGTTATCCCATGGCAATTAATAACTTTTTGATTTAGTGGCTATGAAATCGTACATTTGTACAAATTTAGTATGATTTGCTCATCCCCCAATGACAGTTGAGTTTAGGGTTGGGGTGTTTTTTTTTTATTTAAACTCGTACGATTTAGCCACTAAACTGACAAAACATAAGGAACAGCACTTTAACGTGCCGTTAGCTGTTGACATTTTTGGGGAAAGTCAATATTCATTACTATATAAAAAAACAATAATTGCACTACTATATGATATTTGCTTGATTTAACATATCTAATCACTGTAGATTTGCACAATCTTGCATATTCCAATTTTTATTTATTTCAAAAGAAAACTTCATTTTTTGCGCGAGTGAGATGCAAGTTGACATTTACTCTGAAAACCACAGTATCCATCATGTTAACAACACAGTGCACACATGAACAGAATGAAAGTGACATATAGATGCCTCTGAAATGTTATCTTTTGTTTTATTCTGTGAAATCAAGGGACAACATGAACATTTCCAAAGGAATCCAAGCATCACTAATCACTATCAATGCAGTCTGAAATCCTTAAAATGTATCGAGTTACACATGTGCAGTTATTTATGTTTTCAGGACAAATATAACACAGAATATACATGATTTTTTTTATTTGTATAATCTTAATCATTTCTCTATCGGGTTAATATCGGTCTTATCTACACAGGCGAGGGTTAAAAGGCAGGCCAAAAAGGAATGCATTCAGCTCGACGTTTAAGGGGGCGTATGCCCCAAAATTATGACGGTCACTAAAAAAATATTCACTTTAATCATTTAAAAAGACAAAATATGGACAGGATATGAAAACATGAAATGAATTTACAGGTATTACAACAAAAAAAGAATATACAAACTATTGCACAATGGAGGTACGGATGACAAATACAGCATTAAAAGAACTTTAACAATGTTGTTTTTTTTAGTTTGAACAATAAAAGGCAGAAAAGTCAAGACATAATCCCACTCCTGGCCTACATTATGGCATAAAACCTTTTATAAGCCAAGAGTTGATGTTATCTGTATCTGGGAAAACCCCCGGCTTTTGTTTCCAGTCTTGAAAATGTACAATTTCGTTACAACGCTCTACTGAATGAAGATTAGTGTAGCACTGGAATCAGATAAATATGAGCTAGGCTCCATATGATATCTTTAAATAAGACAAAGTAACACTGTTTAGTGTGACACTGACATGAAAAAGGAGTGTCGAGCAGCTACTTGCGGTCAAAACAACACAAGCTGATTGGAAGGAAAGAAGAAAATGAGGAACAAACAAAAAAAAAAGATGACAGAATGATGACGTAGTTGAAAGTTAGCAGTGTACTGGGATATGTCACAGTTGTTCGTTTTAACATTACACATGAGCATCAGTCATTACGCATACAATTTTACCTGTAATGAATGCAGATTCAAGAGTTGATCCAATCCGAAGAGAGAAAGAAAGAGCTGTTCTAATGATCTGAGTCAATCCAGATCCCAAATAAAAAGTACCTAGCACCTTTAAGGAACAGCAGATGGTACAGTAAAAATGATATTATGTAGCACGATTAGTACAAAAACACAGGTTTTAGATGTGCTACCCAAGTACCATCAACAAATAGTTCAAGTCAAGTTCGATGTTGACTACATGTTAGGGCTAAGCAAATAGCAATTGCGAGTTTTAAAAGCATCTACTGTGCCTGAATTCACAAAGTTCACATTGCTAGTTTATTTTGGCTAATCTGATTGTGCTTTAGCTAAGTCGTTCTTTTTTATTCCCAAATAAACACATTTTAGCATTTAATTTTAAATTCGCATTGAAAACACACACACACACACACACACACACACACACAAATGATGATTCTTGCCCTATTTACTGGGTTCAAGCAAAAGCAATGTTACTATTTCACACAATCTATGCAGATTAAAAACAATTTAAACTATGAAACCTAAATCGCAAAGCAAATCAAATATTTATCAGCTCCCTCATAGACATGTTTTCATTCACGCAACCCAATTTACAAGCAATAGGGCAGAACTCGGAACTTGTTGATTTGTAGATACTTTCTTTTAGTCAGATTGATAGAAGAACAGATCAATAGAATGATAGCTGGAAGGAAAGTGATAGAACTGAATGAATAAACATACAATAGAACGTTTGATCGAAAGGATGTACAAACAACAGAATGAATAAAATAATAATAGAATGAACAATAGATCGAATGAACAAACAACAAAAGGGCTGAGTGAACAATGGACTGAATAAGCGACAGACAAAATGTCTACATGCACAAATGAAGGAATGAATGATAGATCGATGGAACAAATGACAGAATTAGTTGTGATAGAACAAATGAATGATAGAATGAATAAGCAACAGACAAAATGTGCAAATGCACAAACAAAGGAACACACAATACAGTGTTCTGGAAAGTATTCATAGCGCTTCACTTTTTTGTTTTTTTGTTACAGCCTTACTCCAAAAGGGATAAAATTCATTTATTTCCTCAAGATTCTTCACACAATGCCTCATAATGACAATGTGAAGAATTTTTTATTTTTTTTAATTGTTGCAAATTTATTAAAAATAAAAAAGGTGAAAAATCTCATGTACAGAAGTATTTACAGCCTTTGCCGTGAAGCTCTAAATTGAGCTCAGGTATATTCTGTTTGCACTGATCATTCTTGATTTGTTTCAGCAGCTTAACTGGAGTTCACCTGTGGTCAATTCAGTTGATTGGACATGATTTTAAAAGGCATACACTTGTCTATATAAGATCCCAGGGTTGACAGTGCATGTCAAAGCTCAAACCAAGCTTGAAGACAAACAAATCGTTTGTAGACCTCTGTGACAGGATTGTCTTGAGGCACAAGGCTGGGGAAGGTTACAGAAAAACTTCTGCTGCTCTAAAAGTTCCAATGAGCACAGTGGCCTCCATCATTCGTGAGTGGAAGATGTTTTAAAACCACCAGGACTCTTCCTAAAGCTGGCCGGCCATCTAAACTGAGTGATCGAGGGAGAAGGGCCTTAGTCAGGGAGGTGATCAAGAACCTGATGGTCACCCTGTCTGATCTCCAGCGTTCTTCTATGGAAAGAGGAGAACCTTACAGAAGAACAACCATCTGTGTAGCAATCCACCAATCAGGCCTGTATGGTTGAGTGGCCAGATGGAAGCCACTACTTAGTATTGGAATTGGCCAAAAGGCATCTGAAAAACTCTCCGACCATAAGAAACAAAATTCTCTGGTCTGATAAGACTAAAACCTGTGGAGGATACAGTTTGGAGGAAATGCCAGGCTTTACGTTTGGAGAAACCAGGCACTGCTCATCACCAGGCTAATATCATCCCTACAGTGAAGTATGAAGGTGGCAGCATCATGCTGTGGGGGTGTTTTTCAGCAGCAGGAACTGGAAGACTAGTCAGGATAGAGGGAAAGATGAATGCAGCAATGTACAGAGACATCCTGAATGAAACCTGCTTTAGAGTGCTCTTGACCTCAGACTGGAGCGACGGTTCATCTTCCAGCAGAACAATCACCCAAAGCACACTGCCAAAATATTAATGGAGTGGCTTCACAGCAACTCGGTGAATGTCCTTGAGTGGCCCAGCCAGAGCCCAGACCTAAATCCAATTGTACGTCTTTGGAGAGATCTGAAAATAGCTGTACACTGTCGCTTCCCATTCAACCTGATGGAGCTTGAGAGGTACTGCAAAGAGGAATGGGCAAAAATTCCCAAAGACAGGTGTGCCAAGCTTGTGGGATCATATTCAAGAAGACTTGAGGCTGTAATTGCTGCCAAAGGTGCATCAACAAAGAATTGAGCAAATGCTGTGAATACTTCTATACATGTGATTTTTCAGGTTTTTATTTTTAATGAATTTGTAACAATTAAAAAAAAACTGTTATTACATTGTCATTATGGGATATTGTTTGTAGAATTTTGAGGAAATACATGAATTTAATCAATTTTGGAATAAGGCTGTAACAAAAAAATGTGGAAAAAGTGAAGTGCTATAAACACTTTCCGGATGAATTGTAGATCGACAGAACGAACGGCAGAATTAGTTGTGATAGACAGAACAAACAAATGATAGAATGAACGAATGACAGAAAGAATGTCTGAAGCAGACTATAGAAATAGAACAAATCATAAAATGAACAATGAAACAAATAAAAAACTATTATTTATTGATCTACCTATTGATAGATCAATATACAATTAGAGAAAACAGCAAGATTGTTAAGCGAAATGAAGTATTTGCGCAAGCAGATACGATGCTTTTGTGTGAACCCAGCGTTCAAATGCTAGAAAAGTTTCACTTTTAGTTTCGTTCTTTTCATTTCGTGTATAAACAATTCAGTAACGTTAAGTCCTGCATCGGTGTCAATGGTTTAACTCTGGGAAGAAAACAAAATCAGTGCATTTGTCCAAGTTTTGAACAACTTTCTCCTCTGAACAGTACAGTGAAAAAACAACAACAAAAATAGTTCACTTCTAAAGCAAACAGCTCTCCGAGACGACACTTACCAAAACATTTTCGTTCATTCGGCTTTCCGTCACCTTCAAGAGCACCTTACAGACACTCCTTACAGTCTGCAGGCGCCGCTGTAATTCCAGTGTGTACCATACTGACTACAGCCAGAGCCAGTAAATGACCATTTAGCAGATGCTCTTTATCCAAATCGACTTACAGTACGCTTACTGCCATCGAAATTCAGGAAGAAACCTGAAATTAATTGCCTTGCTCAAGGGCTCATAGGGAGGGAGTGTAACGTCTGTAATTCAAGTTTCTGGTCAGCTTTCTTTGCAGTTTCTCAGTCCCTTTTGTTTCCCACAAATGGAGATAAAGAGACCGATAGCGGTCTTTAAACGTCCATGGCTCTGTTGATGGACATTCACACACACACACACACACACACACAAACATACACACTAATACACTTTAAATAAACTATATACTCCATCTGAGAGGTTAATGCAGTGCATGTATAGTGAATTAGCTGATTCACAAACCATAGGCCGGCCTCCTGCACGTGAACACAAAAGGATAGAGGTTGAGACTGTCTTGCATGTGTTTTTAGCTTGGTACATCCCAATCGTCGTGGTAGTGTACAGATGGGAGGGGGCAGGACGGTCAGGCGTTGGACATTTCGGCTTTGCTGAGAGCGATGGCCAGCTCTAGGTCTTCCTGCTCCTGCTGGCGGAGGCGCTTCAGCCGCTCCCGTTCCGCTCTCTCGCTTTCCCGCTTCGCCCACTCCATCTGCTGGGCTTCATTGCCAAACTGGGCCGGGAAAAACAGGGACATGCCACGTTAGTAGCCAAAGGTGCCAAATTGGAGACTGCACCAAGTTGTGAAGCATTGAAGTTGTGGCTTTGAACTGGCACAAAATCCAATTCAAAAGTACTAAATCTACAAATAATTAAAATGCGTAAATATAAACAGATCATTGTTTGTGCCACATCGTATTACAACAGATTTGAGATGTTTGAATCTTGACATTGGAAATAAACAAACCCAAACTATATTTTCCAGATTAAAAGTATTGCTTATTTAAATATTTGTTTATTGATGGCTTTATAATAAAGGCCCCGATATACTTTAAGCTAAGTAAAACAAAGAAACTACGAAATGGCGTCACTCCAGTTCGTAGTTTCTTTGTTTTGTTTTGTTTTGTTTCTAAGCTCGATTTGTAAATTCTTTCAGGGGGGTACTTGGAAAGTTGTAATTATATTTGCATTTCTGTATTTAATTGCATTGTGAATATTTGCAACAAGTCACTTTCTATATTTGGTTGTGATAAGAATATTTTACAGTTTTTCTGTATTTGTGCTTTACTTTTTTGAAACACGTTTCTATATTTGGTTGCGATGTGAATGCTTTAGCTTGTTTTTTTGTATTTGTGCTTTAAATTATTATAACACAATTCTATATTTGTTTGTGATGTGAATGCTTTAGCTTGTTTTTCTGTATTTGCTTTTAAAATTTTTGAAACACGTTTCTATATTAAGTTGCGATGTGAATATTTTAGCTTGTTTTTCTGTATTTGCGCTTGAAATTTTTTAAACACGTTTCTATATTAAGTTGCAATGTGATTATTTTAGCACGTTTTTTCTTTATTTGTGCTTTAAATTTTTGAAACAAAATTCTATAATTGGTTGCGATGTGAATATTTTAGCTTGTTTTTCTGTTTTTGCGCTTTAAATTTTTGAAACAAGTTTCCATATTAAGTTGCAATGTGAATATTTTTGCACATTTTTCTGTATTTCTGCTTTAAATTTTTGAAATACGCTTCTGTATTTAGTTGCGATCTGAATGTTGTAGCACATTTTTCTGTATTTGCATTTTGACAATTTGCAGCAGATTTCTGTAGCATTCTTGTTTCTTGTGGCATGTTCTATATTTTTTGCATTTCAAATATTTGCATTGTTTCTGTATTTGGCTGCCATTGTAAATATTTGTGACATTTTTCACATTTTTTAAAACATTTTGAAACTGGCTTCTGTATTGGGTTCCATTTTGAATATTTCCAGCATGTTTCTTTCTATATTTGTTTGCATTGTGTCTATTTGAGAACATCTGTCTGTATTAGCAATTGGAATTATTGAAAAACGTTTTTGTATTTGGTTGCATCGTGAGCATTTGTAGCACATTTTTATTTATTTGCGCTTTAAATTTTTGAAGCACGTTTTTGGCATTTGGTTGTGATGTGAATATTTTAGCACATTTTTCTGTATTTACGTTTTGAATATCTATAGCATTCTTGCTGCACTGAATAGTGAATAGCATTCTTGTTTCTTGTAATATGTTGTCTGTTTTTGCGCTTCGAATATCTGCAGCGCGTTTCTTACATTTTTAATATTTTAAGCACTTTGGTTCTAAAATTTGCATTTTGACAATTGTCCACGTTTCTGTAGCATTCTTGTTTCTTGTAGCATGTTTTCTGTTTTTGCGTTTCGCATATTTGAAGCTAAATTTTCTGTATTTACGATTTTAATATTTGCAGCAAGTTTCTGTATGTGGTTGCATTGAAAATATTTGTAGCACGTTTTCCATATTCGAGTTTTGAATATTTGCACAACTTTTCATTTTTTGTTTGCACTGAATATGCGCACCATCTTTTTGTACTGTACTTTGTTGCATTGTAACTACTCGCAGAGCCTTTCTGTTTTCCGCTGCATTGTGACTATTTTGTTGTGAATAATTTCAGAGTATTTTATGAATTTGTATTGTAACAACTGCGGGCATATTGGGGTCTTATATGTTGCATGACCTCAATGCTACTATATTTTCCAGTATGTGTTGTGTTTGAATCTAAACTAGATCTGTAAATCGGTAAACAATTCAATATATTTAGGACTATCACTAGTCTATTTTACATTATCTATAAGTTAAATCAATTAAGAATTTATTTTGACCACGCATCTTACTCTTTTCCTGGAAAATAGAGTTAGTGTGTCATTTTCGTGCCACTAGCAACTCCAAAACATTTGATAACATGCGTTTTCTATTTGTACGAACTTTAAGATATTTGCCAAAAGCCACAAATGGCACAAAAATTCAAACAAAATATTGAACACACACTTAACCAACACACCAATAAATGAAAATTGTGCAGCTGATCTTGCATGTGGACAAAACAAATAAAAACATAAGAATGCATGGCTTATTTTCTCATTTTATGCAGTGGCATCATATGTGATTGCAAAACAGTGATAAAGAAAACATTCAGCACATTTTTTGTCCATTCTTACCTTAATTCGCTCGGTTCCTGCAAGAGAGGAATGGATTACAACAACAAAAAAAAAAAACACAAAAGAGATTTACACCAAAACTACAATGCAACCATCCACCGAACTGCACACACACACATACACAGAGAAATGCTGATTGGACACCAACAGACCACTCCCACTGATGACTCATGAAAGACCTTTTTAATTGGTCATTAATAGCGAATGATGTCATGGACAGGAAAATGAGCATGCATTGATCTCGTGCAGCAAGATAATGACAGAAGGAAAAGACAATACAAAGCTTTTTTTTTTCTCAATTCGAGAGCTTCAAATCTTGTACAGAGATATATAAGCATAAATTATGCAACATAACATGCACACCAAAAGTTGACAACGGGTGAATGTGAGCTTTGCTAAACCACCTTGGGAAATATTTGTAAAAATGTATTTAAACTGTTTCGTCATAACACATGCATCAACATAACACATTAATTTGTGAAGAAACCAATCTCTGAACATAAATAGTAAACAAGTCACAGTTTTTTTGAAAATGCAATGTAATACTACTATTGGTAAATTCGTTAAAAACTGCATTTTCTCTGTAAACGTTGCAACTGTCGCAATTTCAAGGAGTGTGTGATAAATCAGAGATGGTTTAGCAAGTCCACCGCACCCAAGTCGTGCACAGCGATACTAAGGACAGGAGGCAGAGCGGATGAAGATGAAGCTACATCAAACACTGTGGCTCTAGGATCAAGCGGAATTGCAGTATGGAGCGCACACTGATCCCATGCGGAGGAAAAAACGACAGCCTGAGAGCTGAGTAGTGATACTGCCACTTCCCACGTCAAACCATCAAACCTAATCGACTTTAAAAGGTTTAGGAGTCCTTTGATTTAAATTTTCCTCATTAAACAAGAGACAAGAATCATGAAACTACATTGGTTGCGATAAGATTCAGATAATGATTATGTTTGCTCCACTAACTCGTGGAAGTGTGACCACAAGGCAGATGTGTCAATATGAGCTGCCCACACTTCTTGAAATATGAACCGATAGCTGATAAGAGAATGGTGAGAACCAGAGAAAGAAATAAACTAAGACTTTTGTGAATTTGTGTTAACTCTTATTGATATTTAGTTGAATTGAACGGTTGTTTGGGATGTTCATGAATCTAAGGTTCGTCACAGAGACTAATGCCACAGAATAATGATGAACAAACTTTCAGGATGCAAGAAATCCGACATTTTAGGAAACGATCAGACAACAGACACAATGATTAAACAAAGTTTCAGGGTTTCTTAAAAGTAAACTGCAGACCATGAGGCGAAAATACTGACAATAGACACATTAGTTAAACAAACACTGATTGTTCAAATGAACAAACTCAAAGTTTTGTGTTGAAAATACTGCTACTACAAACCGAATATACTGCAATTTTGCAGGATGCAGGAAACAGACGAAAATGCTGACAATAAACATTGACTAAACACCAATATTTAGTTCCAATTAAATTTCAGAACACTTATATATTATAAAATGTGTGTTTTTCTTTTATAACATGGCCAGAAGTCAATCTTTGCAGACCATGAGATGAACTAAACTGACAATAGATACGGAAAAGAAAATACTGACATTACTACCTTTAATTTAATTGCAAATACTGATTGTTGTTTTAATTTATGCTTCTTAAACAAAGGAATATCTGAGACGAAAATACTGCTGTTACAAACTTTGTAATCAAGGTTTCTCTTAGAAACCTATCCAGATGGTTCATTTACGCACAAAACTGACACCAAACACATCAATAACACTATAAACATTGCTGATTGGTTCAAGCGAACCTGGAAGAAATTACAATTCTCTTATTTGACCAGTCTGAAGGCTCAGAAAACTGTCATCGATTATGGCATATCAATTATACTTCACGTTTCTTTCTGAGCTAGCAAACTATGGCAGATTTTGCGCTTTCTTAAGGAGATTGTCTACTTTGCAGATGATGCTGAAGCAAAAACATTGACATTTTAGCAAATTTTAGCATAATCGCCTTTAGCATAACGAAGCAAACTTTTTAGTTTCTCTCAGATAAAAACAAAAAAAAAACACATTAATTCTACGATAAAACCCTGACATTTTCTGCAGGTCACTTTACGTGGCAAGTAAACAAGAAAATATCGTCTGATAAGTTATGATCTGAACCTGCTAGTCACAGGCTTTTGTAAAATGCTACGTCTTTACAACCTAACTAATATTGACATAAACTATACAACATTCACTCTTGATTTGAAGCAAACTCAAACCAAGAATTTAGTTTTGATAATACTGTTTCTCAAGAAGACAAGACATAATTGCATAAAAGCTAACAACAAAACGTCACAGAAGAACAGCGAGAAGCCACATTAGCTTAGCTGAGATCTCTTGGTATCACCAAGTGCGACTGCTCCTCTTCCCACAAGCCCATGCAAGTGCTGAGCAAAACGACAGATGACATCATAGCCATGTGCGCCACAAACAACTGTATTCGAGTCGCTGATAGAGAGAAAGATGATGTCTGGCTGCTTGATTAGGGCTTATTATCCAGAATTCAGTGCGCTGTAGAGTTAATCACATATAGATGGACTGCAGACATGGAGGAAAATAAATGAGTAGCCGGCACAAGGCGACAGACTGAGCGGTACAGAAGCCAATGGTGCGGTCTGCTCTAGAAAAACCTCACTGATGATCGCTAGAAAGCACTTTTTTTTGGTTTGTTGGTTGGATTTATTTTGATTTTTGAAAAGAGACAAGTGGACCGGACAAGAGAAGAGTATCACTAAGCTCAACTTACAGAGCTGAAGTCTGCAAAACCCAATGAAGAGTCTTTAGAGGCTTTACTTGGGGCAGATGGAGCAAACGGGTCTTTGCCACTAAACGGATCTCCCACACCCTTTTTACACTGAAACGGGTCAACGGGGTCGGCGCTGAAGGGCTGGAAGGGATCGCTCGTCTTGGCCGGATCGCCAGATCCGGGCACGTTTACTGGAGTGCTTTTACCTGTTGAGAAATAAACAGGTGTTTTGTTCATTTGAAAGCCGCTGAGATAATATTCCTAAATATTGCTCATGTTATTGTATATTTGCAGTCTTGGCAAGCATTTGAGAGTCTACCTTCAGCTGTTCAACAGTAGTTTAATTCTTTGTAACATGTACTTACTAGGAAATAGGAAAATAGAGTGTCTAAACCAGTATTGTTTTGCTCCTCTGTCATTTTGGAGGAAATAACACTGGTTTCAAATTTGGTTTAGCTTCATTTGTGTGGTTTGAGACCTAAGTCTTCTGCTTATCAACCACTACACAATACAACCCCACCCATTTACCAAAAACAAGAGGAAAACCACATTTAAGCTGCATAATGAATCACATCTGATGGTTTAAGATACATTTTAGCATTTACTAAAATATAACAAACGTATTAATCATTTTTTTATTAAATAAATGAATACTTTTTAATCAAGGATGCGTTCCATTGAGCAAAAGTGAGTCAAGACAAAGTTCTTCTGAAGATTTATTAATTACAGCTTTCACAAAGCACGATTTCAACATTAATAATATGATCGTTTTTGCCACCAGCATATTTAAAGAGCCCCTATCACAGGTTTTTGAAAATTACCTTCAATACAGTGTGCAACACAGCTCTAAGTGAATGAAAATATCCGGCTGAGGTTTAAATCTGAAAGTGCACCTTGTTTAAAAATATAGATTTTTTTATTAAAAGATTCAACCCAATGATTCGTTGTTAGTCCGGATATTTTGCCTGTTCTTGGCGATTTCAAAATGAAACAATACCAAATATAAAGTACTGGATCCAGTAAAACGTGAACGTGCCTTTCCTTTCAAATATTAGTGGAGTGCAGGTGTGTGTGGAACTGATCATGACTAAAGATAAGAACACTAATGAGTGAACGTTCTGCCGATTACTGCAATAATCTACCCTGCAACCGGGAATTTGTCAGCTGCTTGTTAAAGAAAGGATCAGAAAAAAACTATTGATGTATGGGATTTAGTCAGAGCTTGACAGGTATTTTATCAGTATAAAGTTCTTGGATCAGTTTCTTCCTCCATTTCACAAGTGTGCGTTAAGTGTGATTAAAATGGTTGCCTCCTTGTTTTCTCCAGCTTGCAATATGTACTTAATTGTGTTTTGTTACTTGTAATCGCTCCACGCGGCTTGTACTATATCGGGTTTTCTCTTTATAGTCACATATCATGCTAAAAGGCGATGTGTGTTGCTTTCTTTAAAAGTGTTTGTGAGCTCGAGATCCTCTGATGTTTGTCATTGCTATGGTCAACCATCAGCTGTTCCTACACACTTGTGGCTGTCAAGTTTCAAAATAGTTCAGCTTTAGCCACTGCGTGGATTAATACTGAATGTGTGTCGTTGTTTTTACTTATGGTTAAGAATAGGGCAATATGCTGGTGTTTAACTGCATTGCTTTAATGCACTCCTACATTGGACTCTCACATATATTCTGCACTCTGGCTACATTAACAATGTTAACAAGCCTTAGTGGGTGTTTCTGTCTTGCGCTGAACGCTGTCGACCAATTGCAAATGACCGGGTCATTGGACCAATTAGTGCAGAATAGCTTCACGTACGAGGCATTTGGGAATAAATTAATCGCTAAAAAAATCATATGGGAGTTACTGGGATGATTAGGTAAAATAAATACATATTATAAAACAATGAAAGTGTTTTTCAACCTTGCATGCATATCAGCCTGTTGTTGGAGACCCCCAAAACCAAAATATGACCCTTTTAAAAGTAATAGGGGATCTTTAATTCATTCAAAAAACTATAAATGTATTAAACAAATACTTTTATTTATCAAAGGCACATTCAATTGACCAAATGTGACAATAGAGACAAAAATTACATATAATATTTTGCCAAAGATTATTATTTAAAATTATTATAAATACTACTTAAAAAAAGCTAAATACAAAATAGACAAACTGGAAACATCTAATACCATCAAAAGCTTTTTTTTTTTTTTGATGAATAAAACTTCCAGAGGCAGTGTATAAAAGTGATTGACACAACCTGAGGTTGTATTTTTATGCAAGTAAAAAGTATGCAAAAAAAAAACTTTAATCACTAAACAAACCAAATCAGCACATTGGATTGATTTTGAAGGATCATGTGACTTTTAAGAATAGATTAACTATGCTTAAAATTCTGCTTACCATCAAGAATCTTAAAATATAAAAGTTATTGAAATTTTCTGGCAATATTTCTAAATATTGCTCATTTTATTGTATATTTGCAGTCTTAGTAAGCATTTGAGAGTTTTAAAAGAATAAAAAAGTCCACTTTTAACTGATTAAATGTAGTTTAATTCTCTTTAACAAGTAATCATTAGGAAATGAGCAAATAATTGTGCCTATTGCTCGTATCCTTACAAAAGCTCAACCAAAAAACCCAATGTGGTTCAAGCGTGTATGCGGTAACTCTCTCTCTCTCTTTAAATGCAAACAACACAGAAGTTACACTCCTTTCAACATACACCCAACTAAACACGGCTCACACGCTGTTATTTGTTTTATAGGACAGCAGAATCCTTGCACAAGCAATTGCTTATTATAGAAACTTGTGCAAGAAATGCAATCGCAAACCAGCGTGGATGTTCGGATTAAAAAAGCACACTTATGCATACTTCTTTTTTTTTCCCCTTCATTGCACCATTTGCCGAGACTGGCATGCACTTACTTGTGAGAACTGTAAACTGGTTGCTGGTTCCTCTAAAGGTGTTAACCGCATGTTCAATAGGGCTGTTATTTATACCAGACCAGCAATCAGTTTCTTTCTGTCAGTAAACGGAATATACTTAACCGCAGAAAAAGACTCCACCCTGCTTGAGGAAAAGAGGTCAGAAAACAAGCTCTGCTCTTTATTGGTACAATCATTAACAATTAAAGACTTAAAAATGTTGGGTTGGCTTTTTAAAATTAATTAATTTCAAACATTTTACTTTTTATTCCATTTGTTAGTTTGTTGTTGCAAGCACAAAACTCTGCTTGGTTGCCCTAAATTTTAATCAGATTAACCTTATTCAATGCTTTGCTGACATTCTTGATTCTGATTGGCTGGAAGGTGTGCAATAAAATCGTTTAATGCATTCGTAGTTTCAGTTTTGATCACAATTCGAAATGAATGAACATTAGTAGTAACCATATTAATGCAGTGTAATTCAACCACGCTGTAAAAAGCAGTAAGTTACTTTAATTTAAATTAAAAAGTGAGTAAATTCATTGCCTCAAAAGCAACAAGCTGACTTTACTTTAAAAAAGTGAGTAAATCCATAGTAACTTGGAATGGTTAAGTTGACAACTTCCTTTTTTTTATAATTATGCACATAATTTGTTTATTTAAGAATTTTAAGGCAGTGGGTTTACTCACTTATCTTTAAGTTAGGTCAACTAATTGCTTTAAAAGCAATGGTTTTACTCACTTCCTTTAAATTAAGTCAACTAATCGTTTTAAAAAAAGCAGTGTGTTTACTCACTTCTTTTAAGTTAAGTCAACTAAGTGCTTTAAAAGCAATGGCTTTACTCACTTCAAGTCAACTGATTGCTTTAAAAGTAATGTATTTACTCACTTCTTTAAGTTAAGTCAACTTATAGCCTTAAAAGCGATGGGTTTACTCACTTCTTTTAAGTTAAGTCAACTGATTGCTTTAAAAAGCAATGGATTTACTCACTTTTTTAAGTAAAGCTTTTTATAACGGTGCAACTGAATAATATGCTCAAAAATATTAGCAAAAAGGTAGCTAACATGCTACAATGAGCTATTAGACATCGCCGTGTCTTCTACATGCACACACATGATCTCTTATTTGTGTGCATGCTCTCTGTCTGTGGCTGATTTAAAGTGGGGACTAGGAGATCTAACATGGCATTACTGCCAAAAGTTCGGTCAAATATTGCACAGCAATGAGCAAAATTAGCTTTAACTTGGCAAATGACTACAGAGCAAATGGGATGATCAACTTCCTGGTTCACTTCCTGGTGACAACCTCTGCTTCACATTGTGCTGCCTCCATGCCGTGCATTTAAAAGCCTTAAACACAAGTCTCTTATTTACATCACTTTAACTTTACATTTTAACTTTACATTAAACTGACATTTTTTTAAAAAGTTATACATACTGTTTTATGTTAAATGAGTTATAATTAACATAAAAACTTATGTTGTCTTACTGATCACTTTTTTTACAGTGTGGTATATATAATTTAACAGTTACAATGTTTGAAATGTGTTTTAAGAGAAGAACACAAGTAAATGTGAATTATTCAGGGTGAAAAGTTGAGGCATCTAGGCCACACTACCCACTACATGTGTAAACACACACGCACACATACAGGAAGTGGGGAGGGGTGTGTATAGATCAGTGCTTGATGCTGGCAGTGCAGGCTAACCACAGATCATCGAAGCATGTTAGCAATACCACCCTAAAAACACCTAACAAACCTCCTTCTTTAACCTCCATACCAAACATTAAACCTCAGTTACACCAGGAAAGCGCTCACTTGTTTTCTAGGATCTAAAAAAAAAACATAAACATGCTTCTGCAGGAAAAAAGAGTGAGTTGCACTGATTCTCCTTTTCCTCTAAATGGCGACAGCTCTGAGGAAACGCTGCAGGTTTCGCTTTCTCAGAGTGATAAATTGATCTTCCATATAGTGTTGTTTTTGTGCACCAGGGTAAAGATAAGAATGTGCACTGGAAAGTTAGAAAAAAATTTAAAGCTTCATCAAATAAATGAAGGCTGTACCTCAATTTCCTGTTGACAAGTGATGGAGGAAGAGCGAGGATGACTTAAGGCCTAAAGTTCTTTTTTTCATTTTTTGGGGGGGGGTAAAAAGAAGTTCAAAATACCTGAGAGATGCTTTAAAAATCCCACCGTGCTGAGAGCAGCATTTAAGTGAATATGTAAATATGTGCTGCACATTTTTTTTCACCACTGAAATGGTGAGAAACAGCAGTTTAAAAAGGATCTGAGAACTGTTAACATGAGCTTGACAATTCAACACTTCAGTCAAGTCTCAATGTTGCTTTCAATTAAGGTCGTGACTTTAGGGATGACGATTTTCTCAAAATCCCATGATCGATCATCATTTAAATTAATGATCAATTGATCGTTAATCACCACTCCATTATGAATACAATAAAGTTTTGATTTAGGGGTGCACAATATGTCGTTTTAGCATCGATATCGCAATGTGCGCATCCACAACAGTCACATCACAAGATATGCAATGTTAAGTCTGAATTAAAGTTGACCAGGAAACACAGAATTGTATTTAATGACTGTATTCATATGGAATTTATATAGTTTTTATAGTTTAATATCTACATTCCAAAGCAAAAACTAAATTATTTAGCTTATAAAATACATAATTTACGAATTTAAAAAAAGCCTAGTGAAGAATAAGCATAATGCATAATGAATCTTGCATAGTGATCACAACGAACTAAGGTAATCGTTTATTTATAAACTATAAATATAGAAAATTAAAGAATTTTAAGTAACAGAACAGTATGTAAAAAAGCTAAATTAAGGCTAAATAAAAGCGCCTCGTCAAAGCTGAACATCAGCTCACGCACTGGTTAAAGCTGTTTAAAGAGCAGACCTATAAATGACAGACAACACAATCTCAATAAAAACATCGCTACATTATTTAAAAGCATTCGTTAGGACATTGGATCATACATAGGATCGGTTGTTTTCAAGCTTCCTTTTTAACATTAAGATATTTCATTTGAAATCTGGAATACCACTATTGTCCCTTCATCGAGGGTAAAATAACCAGCCTTTCAGCAAAGCCTGATATTTTAAAGCAAAAAAATTCTTGCTAAAGTAAACTGTCTAGTTTTACGTATTTAAACACTACCTCACCTGAACTCGCAGCGAATTAAATGAAAAATCAGATACTCAAGACATGTTTAAAATAACGACGTGTATTAAAAAGGTAGCAAATATATGACAGAGGTTTCTTATTTTCCATGAGTGAAACAAATCATCCAGTCGTACAGTTGTGTAGTGGATGGACACGAACAAAATTATACACTTTATATTTTTTTGTGAAACTCACGAATTAACACCAGCACCTGCAAATTTAAACAAGATTAATCCTTCATCGATATGATCTATCATATTATAAGGTCTGTTGACATCAGGTAATCGTTAGCATCCCTACTTGATATAGTTTTCGTTTAATTTGTGTTCTTTGATTGAGGACAAATAACGTTCGAAAAAGCTGAGTGACAGTATACTGTTTCGAACATTCTGACACCCTATTTGTACCCCATAAACAACAATGATGGGGACTGTGAGAGATCAATCAGTTTACAAAAATCTGGCAGTAGCATTAATCTATTTAATAACAGGAAAAGAACAAGAGTCGCAGATGGAATGTGCGTCCACTAAACAAAAACATTACAGATAATAGCTAGTTGTGAAACGTGCAAAAAAAAAAAAGCTTTCTCCTGTTTGACCTCTTTGTAATGAGAAATGAATCTAATCAAATCGAATATCGACGAAGTTCCAGAACACCCTCAACTATACGTAATCAACATGGACTAATAGTAGCTCAAAGGCGTTTAGGAGTTAAAACGCTTTGTTGAGCTGTTTCTAAATCCTTAAACAAACTTCTTTTCAGCTGAATTTTGATCAAAATGATGTCATTTCAGTTCATTCTTCAATTTTGCTGGAAGTATATGGGGACCATTAATTACACTAAAATGTCTACTACCAAGCAGTTTTTTTAGTATTTTCTTTTTACTCGTGGACGCCTGACTTCTGATGACGTCATCGTTCAATAGTGAAATCAGTAGTCAATTCTAAAGTGTTTACCAGCTCAAGCAAACTTTTGCGGAAAGTTCCCGAGCAGTTTTAAAAAAAATAAATTTATTCATGTTGGCCTGAATTTGCTATTGGTTAAAAATGACTAAAACTGCATTCAAGATTTTGTGTATAGAGAGCAGTCTGCTTTTCAGTCAGTTAACCAATCACTACGGGTGTGCAATATTGACAAAAACATAAATAAATGAAAAATTAGCCTGGTGCTCATTGCAAAATTAACATTTTAAACGAAATATTGGTAACTAATCGATACTAAATCGAATCTACATAAATAATTCAATAATATTAGCCTGCACATTTAAACAAAACATCGCAGATTATAAATATCACATACCATACCAATCGAATGATTTCCTGGCAGTCACATAAAATTTTCTTTGGTATGTAGTTAAAAAACTGTATTTGATAAATGTGTTTATTTTGTAGTTTATTCAAAATACTTATCGTCAATCTAGATTACAATCTACTTATCGTCAAAAAAAATACAAATCTTACAATGTATGTGCATTTTGGGGTTTCCATTAAGTTTTTCTTATCTGGCATGCTTAAATGCATGTAAAATAACACATAAATGTCCACAACATAAATGTGTGAAAGGAGGACACCAAATTTCTACTCAAAGCTGCTTTGCTTTCACTGCAAAGCTACAGCTGATTTTTCTCATTGCATATCAAAAAAAAATGTATAGTTATCCACCTAAACAACATTTCTCCTGGTCTTTCATGTTGGCTGTTTGCATTACCTGTTTTGTCTACTAACCCTTTTTCCAGACACAACAGCTGTGTAGCTTTAGTAAACGTTTACTTGTAGAAACTGAACACTAGTTTGATTAAACACCTTATATGGTTGTGTATATAAATTTTGTCACAGTTTGTTTGTGTGTCTCTTAAAGTCTTACCGCTGGGTGGTTTGGGTCGTGGTGGTATACTTTTTTTGGGCGGGAGTGCTGGCATGTCTTGTTTTCGGCTGAAGGGGTCTTCTACAAAGCCCTAAATTGAATTTCAGAAGGCAGAAGAAGTGGTGGGCCATAATCAGTAAGGTGCAAAGAACATGAATTATGAGTGGGATCTCTATCAAAACCACATCTTATGAAAGTCATGTTGCAAACGTGTGAGAAACTGGAGCTCCACTGTGCTTATGATGCAAGTGTAACAGATGAAAAAGGTGTTAACTACCTTTGACATTTGGCTGAAGTCTGCAAAGCCGCTGTTGCTGCCAAACGTACTACTACCGAATGGGTCTAAAGTGCCGAAGAAATCTGAAATTGGAAATAGGAAAAACAATGAAGCATCTTTTTAAAGTAATTTTGTTCATAGGTTTATTCAACAATAAACTTTAATAAAACACTCAATAAACACTTAAACAATAATTAGCAAAAATAATAAATGTATTTTAGAACAGCTTGTACACTATTAATGGCTAATTAAATTGGAAATGCATGTTGTTATGTCACAATAATAATAGAAATATAGCAGGAATAATAACATTAACAAAAAAAATACTTTAAAGTAATTATGAATTACTTGTTTACTGACAATAAAAAGACAAAAAAACTGATCACAAGACCTTAATAAACATTTTAGTAATTTAATATAATTGTTAATATGAATAAAAATCCATTTATTTAGGGGAAACAGTACGCTGCACCTGCATAAACACATCTAATAAGGGATGGAATAAAACATTTGGAATGGGAGAAAATCTGATTCCAGCCTCCACATCAAAGTTCCTGAAAGCAAAAAAAGGTCGAGGATCTCCAGGATTGGCCAGCCAAGTCACCAGACATAAATATTATTGAGCATGTCAGGGGTAAGATGAAGGGGGAGGCTTTAAAGGTGAATCCAAAGAATCTTGATGAACTCTGGGAGTCCTGCAAGAACGCTTTCTTTGCCATTCCAGATGAATTTATTAATAAGTCATTTAAGTCATTGCAGAGATGTATAGATGCAGTCCTCAAAGCTAAAGGGAGTCATACACTAGATTAATTCTGTTTTCACTGCACCATGACTTTATATTCTATACTGTACATTATTTCTGTTAAGGTACAAGACTTTTGTCTAAGCAAAGTCAGACTCTATTTTCCTAATTAAATAAATAAAAATCAACGGTTGATCATATTATATTTTGGTTAAATAAGCGTAATCTGTAGGCCTTTCCCTTTTTATAAGCCACTTCTGATACCAAATGATCAACTAGAAATCAATTTATTATTTGTTCTTTCTAAAACTTGTAATATTTATTTATTATTTTACTTTCTTAAGTATTATTTGTATATTGTACCTTTTATTGATAGTTGTTGTGTTGTTTGTTGGCCCAAAATTTGTAAAGCAATGTGTTTGAATATAAAAAAATACATTTATTTATGGGGAAAAAGTCTTTAAAGTATTGATAAATTATTGATTAAGTTTTTTTTAAAGACAAATTAAGGGGTCACTGAACACATTAAATAGAAAAATACAATCAAGTTGAATAATACAAGTAATAAAAAATAACAATAATAACAATACAATGAAAAAGGTCTTTAAAACAACCTAATCAAGCGTCACTGAATGAAGCGTTCATTTGACCGATATTTACATGCTTCTAACCGCCCTTAATCAAAAAAACAATAAAATATATAATATTTATATAAATTCGGATTATTGATTTTGCATTTCAGCAACTCAAAACAAAAAAGAAACAAGCATCAATTGGCTTTGTTCTCCACCTCTATCTTTCTAGTGTTGTTGTTTGCAACCCACAGGTTGCAAAAAAAAAAGTGCTGAGCATTTCCTGGCATCGCCTCAGCATTTGTGCTGCAACCGAACGCTGCATTAACATTTACAGAAACAGCAGAGGAATTTCATGACGTTCGGTCAAAGACAATGTGCCTATGAGCGGACGTAATGCATGGGAACTCTTTTGACAGCTTCTTCACACGTGCTCTCTCAAATAGCTCTCTTAATGGTCTTCGAAAAAACTAAAAGTGTCGCCAGTGGGCACGAGGTGTGAATGTCAGCTTGCTTCGGTTATATAATGCACTCAGAGCAAATGCTTCAGGGCATTTGTAAGGGAAACTTTTATCTGATGCCAGATCCGTTTCATGAATTTAAAAAGTGTGTTCAAGAGGCTGATGTTTAAAGGAAGGGAGCGGCAGGGATGATATGATTCAGCTAAATTGGTGAGAGACGTGCAAACAGTACCTTGACCTTTCGGTTTGGGGCTGGTTGAGATGAAGGGGTCGTTACTTGCGAAATGATGGCTCTACAGCAGAAAATAAAGGAGAGGATTGAAAAACAAGTCATACAATGAATGTTAACAATAAACTGATCTTAATATTTTTTGACTGATTAAATTGGCTTATTCTGCATAATTTGTGTACTTTATAAAGTTAAAAAATATAATAATTAGCTTTGTAAAATTACAGTACTTAAGCATACCAGTACAAAACAAATCAGTAGAAAGGCTGAATAAAAATGCTAAATCCCTCAGTGAACAGCAGGAATAACAGCATTTCTTTGTAAACTAAGCAGCTGCACTGGTATTTAATATGCATTTATATAGACTAGGGATCTCAAACTTCTATTGGCGGAGGGGGGTGGGGGGGGGGGGGGGTTTAACATTCAAGCATTAAAAAAAAACTTGAAACCTGATGTAATTGATGCATCTTAGGCCAACAGACATGACTATTATATTACAGTGAAACAGTGAAATGCTGACAAAAAGTGCTAAATCCCTCAGTGAACAGCAGGAACTTCTGAAATTTCTGGGAACAGAAGCAGCTGCACTGGTATTTAACAATGTTGGAGAAAGTTACTTTAGATAGTAAAGTAAAATATTGAGTTACTCCCCCAAAAAAGTAAATAATTGCGTTACTTGGTTACTTTTTATGGTAAATAATGTATTACATTAAGTTTGAGTTACTTTTTCTGACCTAAAAAATGTATGTACTTTTTGTAATGTACAATAGGAATATTTAATTTTTACACACTTCATACAATAAAATAATTGAAATATAATTGTGTGTAAAGTCCATTGCACAGTCGATCTGAAATGTTTGTTTAAATTTTTGCATGTTAAAAAACAAATTTGACCATGTTGTGTCAAATTTTCATGTTGCCTTTTAAACATTTTTATTTGGATTCCTTTTTTTTTCACATTTTTTGCATTCGTAGAAAGGGTTTTGAGGGGTGTTTTGACAATTCAGAGCCACTATATAAGCAAATCTTATAGATACGAATGTGAAAAAATACATAAGACAATTTCAGACTTCACTGTTCAAAGACCAGAAGAGGAATTGCCTGAATTAAAAAAATATATATATGATATTGATTTGTGATTAGTTGACCTGTATTTAAGCTGAGTATGTTGGCTTTGTAAGTACCTTTGAGGGCAGAGTGGCACTTTTGCTAAAAGGATCGGCGTTGGTGAAGGGGTCCGGTTTGGAGGGTTTCTTGAAGAAATCTTCAGAGGACGTCCTGAATGGGTCGGTTTCTTTAAAAGGGTCTCCACCGAAAGGATCTGTGAGAGTTCAGAGCATAATGTGACTTATATTTAAATATCATTATTTACATTATATCATCTTATCATAAACCTATATTTAGCCCAAATTTGATGAGAGATGGGGAAGTGAGAGCCTCATTTGTCACTAAAGGGGAACTGTGTCAAGGTAAGTGAACTTGATGTTTAACACCATGAAGCTTTGTGAGAGACTTGAAAAGCTGAAATGAAATAGGGGCATTTAATCATTTTCTCCCAAGGGAACGTTCATAATATCAGCATTGAGAGGCATCTCTGAATGCCTTTAGAATCAAATATTGCCTAAATGATTTTTATTCAAGGCTTATTTTATTTGAAAAAAATCTAAATGTATTGTATACAAGTTTTTTTTGAATATGTTATTAGGGATGTGCGATTAAAGAAAATCGCAATTGCAATTTGAAATGTTGCGATTAGCTAATCGCAAGAGGCTACAATATGAAATATGTATTATTTATCTTCCCCTGCCCAGAGCAAATGTGTGCATGGTGTCTGTGTGGGACAGTCTTACTAGCCAATTGAGTGAGCACACTTTTGTTCTGCCCAATCAGAATTGTGCAACCGAACTATGCGGAATGCCAACAAAAAAAAAAAAAACAGGAAAGCGCGAACGAATGGTTTTATGACGTCTGCCGCTTCAGAAGCAAGAATTAATTTAAAAGAAAAACAGGACATTGGTAATATGGGAATATTTTGTTTTCAAAGTCGCACAAAATTAAAGTTTAATGTTTTGATATCTTTATGTGTATTTTGCGTGCATTCATGGCTCACAATGCAAGTGTGTGCATCATCTGTAGTGACTGACTGTAATGTAACAGTTATATTTAGATGCATTAGATGCAGAAATTTAAAGCAGTTTAACAATTAAAAATCTTCTTAATGGATATTACGTCATTCAATGCGACTATACACATGACTTTACGGAGCGCTTACGACTTTACGACTTTACCAACTACGATGTGCTAGTTACAAACTAGCTAGAAGTTTCAAAGCCTCTAGTGTGGACTTTGCCTTCCAGTTTAAGAAAGAACTTACGAACAGCTGGTGCAACGCTACCCAGAAGATAACTGATGTCCTAATACACTACCTTGCTATAGACAATGCCTTTTCATGCAGTGACCAAAGAGGGAATAAAAAAAACTCATCTAAATGCAGGATAGGAGATATTCACTTCCGTCTCGCTCCTATTTTAGCCATGTTGGAGTACCACAGCAGTACGTTTAACGTCATTATATTTTGTGTAGCATCTGTGATAATATTTTGTTTTAGACAATTTAAGCTACAGAAAGGCTCTTATCAGCCATGTTAGTTTGCTGAGTGTTCTGTATTTTTATAATTATTATTTCTTTGTAGGTAAAATAAGCTTCACTACCTAATTTGAATTCAACTTGTTTACAGAAAAGGTAAGGTCATTTTATTTGTGCTTACTGTTTGCTCTAGAGAAAAATTAGTGTTTAATTTCTGAATATTTAAAAACAAATTTGAATAAATGTTTAAGAAAGTTAATATCTTTTCAGTTCCTTTTTTTAACTAACACTCAGTGCATTTTAGCAGTAAGAAGCTACAATACAGATTATTAAGCTAAAGCTTGATTACAAAATTAAATTGCAAATTAAATTGAAATTGCAATATTTGTCGAAAAAAAACAAACACAATTAGATATTTTCCCCAAATCGCACAGCCATATACATAATATACAAACACTCCCTAAAATCGCACATGAATTATACACAACTGTATATATTATCTACATTAATTACAATAATTTATTAATAATATTATATATACAACTAATTTAAAAAATAGCCTACAAGATACATGTTATTTTTTATTGGAAACATTAAGGTATGAAAATATCAAATAAATTAATTTAATTTGGTTTTACTATTTTATTTAAAAAATATATTATTTATTTATTTATTTATTTATTTAAATAAATGTATCTTTTATTATTGTATTTAAAAATTTTATTATTAAAAAAATTACACATATAAAAATGACACACACACACACACACACACACACACACACACACACACACATATATATATATATATATATATATATATATATATATATATATATATATATATATATATATAATTAATATGTAGATAACGTGTGTGTGTGTGTGTGTGTGTGTGTAAAAAATTATAAAAAGTAAAGTTTAATTAATTCTATTAATTTACCTTTTTCCAGATCTGTGTGTTTATACAGGTCACATTATGCAATACATATACAAAAACATTTTGAATAAACTGTATTATTATAAAAACATACACAAATATAGTGTATATATAGATATATTTCCATTATTTTTACATTTTATACTTGTATACTATATTTAAAAGGACATCACTGTTTTTATACTTAGTATTAATAATTACCTTAAACAAGAATACACTTCAAATCAAAATACATTTCTGTGCATTTACAAATAAATCAAGATATATTTTATATCAGTGAGATTGTGTATACATATGTATTTATGATTTATGTTATTGACTACTTTTGACTCATTCCTTTTTTCAGACTAGTTTTAGTTTAGATAATCCACCAATGTAGCATTGCATACAATTTAACACCGATCTACATTTATCCTATTTATTTATCCTATTGCTCCAAGTTCAAAGCTCAAAACCTAAAAGCCGCATACCTGGGACTGTGGTGGCCGGTTTTGAGAAAGGGTCATTCTGGAACGGATCGCCTACAAAACATACAAAAGCAAACAAGGAGATGCTTTTAGTAGCCAACCCAAAGCCTAATCCCGAAAATGTGCCACAAAATAGAAATCTAAAACTACATTTTGTCACAATAAACCATAATTAAAGGGATAGACACCCAAACTGAAACTTCTGTCTTCATTTACTCACCTCCACTTTTCACAAACCTGTTTGAGAGTCTTTCTTCTGTTGAACACAAAAGAAGATATTTGGAAGAATGAAACTGGTAACCATTGACTTACATAGTACTGTTTTAATGGATGCTGATTTTCAACATTCATCAAAATATCTTCTTTTATGTACAACTGAAGAAAGTCATAAAGGTTTGAAATTACTTGAGAGTGTGTAAATTGTGAATAAGTTTAAAAGAAGAAAAAGAAAAGGAAACAGCCATGACAAACCTTTGAAAGGGTCTGTTTTAAAGGGGTCTTCAGACTGGAAGGGGTCTGTGTGCATCTCCTGAGGGGCGCTGTTGAAAACAGTGGGCTTCACCTTAAACGGGTCTTCCTGTAACAATTCAAATAAACACTTAAAGGCATAGTTCACTCGAAAAGTAACATTAAGGTAACATTTGGGTTAAGTTAGGTTATGTTAAACCAAAAAAAGATATTTTGAAGAATGTTAAAAACACTGACTTCCACAGTAGAAAAACCTTACTATGGAAGTCAATGGCTACCGGGTTCAAACATTCTTCAAAATATCTTCTGTTATTTTTAAAAATGAGTAATTGATGACAGATTTACTTATTTTTTGTGTACAATATCCCTTTTACGATAAATGTGTACTGTCAGCTTTGGCCGAAAGGTCCAAAACCACGTCTCTATAAGTGTCAGTCGTTTTTCATTTTCAGCCAATCTTAGCTGTTTAAAGTAACATAAGAACCTCTGTTAAAAGTGCTGGGTTTACAAATTGCATGCTCGCATGCGAGACATAACTCATAAAGAAAAGCAAGAGAAGGATTCAGAAACCAGAAAATGTCGACAGGAATTCACTCGCATTCACTTGTTTCTGGGCTTAAATTTAAAAGAAAGTGAAAGTGTCCAAGCAGGTGACTAATCAATCTAACATTGTATATAACAGATATTGAATAACAAGTTTTTAAATCCTGAATATCAGTAATAGATTAAATATAAAATATATAAAAACATATTTATAATCGATTAAAAAAGGAAAATATACATGTACATATACACATTTTAAATAAATAACATTATTACTGTTTTAAATATTATTTTATTAAACAGCAACAGATCATTTAATTATTTTTGTTTTAGTGAATGCACCGAAGACCACTGTGTTGGCTTATTCATATCTCAAATTCGCCTGTGCTCTTCTCTCGGAAATTCACCAGAGCCCACTGTCGACTGACTGACTGACTGACCGATCACCTGACCCACCCTCCTCCTCCCCTAAACCCAACCAATAGTCTTTTCAAACGTAACAATTGACCTGCTCACTCACAAAAAGCAGTTGGGTGACATTTGACAAAAAGCTTGTGGCGCAGACAGGCAAAAACATTAGGATATGTTTGTAGAAAAGGCCTTTTGTACAATGCACTGATATCGTTAATAGGGATGCAATGATTAGCCGATATCACGATTGACCCTGCTTTAATTCATTACAGTTAATTTATAGTAAAGGCTTCTTAACGCCACGTTTCTATTGCACGGGAAAAAAATGCTGCAACTAAACAAAGTTATGCTACTTGTGTGCGAGTTTAAAGTTCTGAGCTTATTCTGAGGCTAATACGCACGCACACTGGATTATCTATAGCAGCGGGCCATTCACTTATTACGCCTATTCCGCACACAAGTTCATTATTTCCAATGGAGAGGTGTTCTTATAGGGAGCGGTGCACGCATGGCTCGCAAGCGGAGAGACGCACATGCGCCCTCCAAGTGCACACAATGGAAATTATCTCACGCTGTAGTGGTGAGAGTTGTGGGTGTCATTCAGAGCAATGAAAACATACATTAGAGAAATTATTACAAATTATTAAAATTATTATGTAAGTATGAATGCTTATTTCAACCATTAACTCTGCTGGTAATCTGGAGGATTTAGGTAAACACAGCAGCACCGCGATGTGTCTAAATGTGAACTAATTCCACTGATAAAGGACAAAGTCCACCATACTCGTACTGCTCTCCCAACAAAAATGCTTGCTGCACACAAACCGCTTTGCTGTATTGGCCCTGACAGGATCGTGGGGAAAAACATGCAACCAAACCCGTAGATCATGGAAACAAACACATACGACCCTTTATGAACAGCTAAATACTGTGTGCCGTGGGTCCGTGGACGCGTCTCACCCAGTCATCAACGTGTTTCACAGCTTGGCACTGGCAGGTCTGCCTTGCCTTTGAAAACCATGTGCAGTCATGAATAATTAAGAAGCATTACATAGTAAAAAGTACTACTTTACATAGTAAGGGTGTCACGATCCTCCATATCCTCAATTCGATTACATTTTCGATTCTAAAGACACGGTTTGATTTTCGATTATGAATAATTAATTAATTAATGACCAATTAATTATTTGTAGCCTACCGTTTAAACTACCTGACCTGCATGGTCTTTGTTTTACCCATAAACAAATCATACAGTAAATGAATAAAGGCAAGATACACACATAATTACCACCTGTCAATCACTTTTTCTGCGGGACTCGTGAATAGACAGTGATCTGTGTCGTTATAATGGCATCAGTAAAAAAGACGCACAACCAACAGGAACCAGCCAACAGTATCTGAGGTGTTCGCTAAAATGATAAAGTACAAATGAGTGAAAGATTGAAGCAGTCCTCTGACTGCCTGGACCTGCTGTCTGTGCTGTATGTGCGTCTGTGTCTGTGTGGTCACGTGATGTGCATTTTCAGAGGCAGAGAGGAAGGAGGGCTGCTCAGAAATGCTACACGCCACTGTGGATGTCAAATCGTTGTCGTTCTAAAATGCCATTTAAAAACAAAGACAGTATAAACAGGGCCTGAGTGTGTACTTTTCGCGAGCGGATTTGCAACAGGGGCGGGTGGAGGATCGCGATGCCGGTGTTGTCTATCGGACGAAGCGTATGTAATACAAACATAGCAGAGCTTGCATAACTGTGTTGAACGCTGTCAACATAACTCACTGGAAATCCAAAATGCTTAAACACTGGCGACTTCATTGAAAGAGGAGAGGGTTTAAGTTCTCTCGACGGGTCTCCTGCTTCTGCAGTTTACAAGCACTTCAACAAGCCTGTTTTTTTTCCTGCTTGGCAAGCCAAGCTGACATGGGGGCGTGGCAGCATCGACGATTCTATTTTTTGATTCGATAATCGAAATTGAGCATAAATTTCGATCGATTTTGATTAAAAATCGAAATTGTGACACCCCTATTACATAGCATAAGAAAACTCCGAATAATAATGAACTATGAATAATAATGAGAAACCGGAAGCGTCATCTTTGCTTTTGCAGTTTTGCGCTACGTCGCCAATTTTGATCTTGCCCCAAAAATAATTTTAAGCTGAAATTAGCTGACAAAAGCTCAATATTATCCACTTTTCCCCACAGTTAAAGCTAACAGATGCTAACATTGTCTTAACTGATGCTCAACACACACAAATCTCTTAAAATCTCAAAAAAGTACTCCAGGGTTTCTTGAACCTTTAAGGAGCAAAAATACAGCATATGGGCTCTTATATTGCTGTTGTGTCATCACTTATATTGCAAGTCGTATCTCTCAGGCCCCTCATTTGTGATGCTTTTCATGAACTGGCCCCCATGACAAACTAAATAAATAGCCCTGTAAAACAGTATTATTATATAATTGCTGTTTTGTGCTACAAACAAACAAATGAGTTAAAAAATGTAATAATAGTAATGGTCATTATTAATAATATAAATAAAAAATCTTTATATTAACATATCAAATTATGTAAATACTATATATAGTTACACTTATAAACAGTTATGAATTGTGTGTGTATATAAATACTATATGTGGTTACTTTTTTCAAACAATTATGAATAATATTATTAATAACCAAAATAAAATATAAATCAAATGCGTTAAAATACATAACTCTTTTACCTGGAACAGACTTTAATTAGCAGTTCACTATCCACACTTCCACCCCCTACTAAAACTACTAACCCTCTGAATACATCATAGCTTTAGTATGGATACAACCTGGTCTGCATGTATTCTACATTGGCAAAAAACAAACACTGAAGTAAACTAAACACATCAGATTTATCCTTCTCCTCACCATGGCTCCAAAACCTCCATTCTCCTTCTCAGGGAATCCTTCGCTCATGTCGGCCAGGTTGGTCATGCTGCCCCCATGGGTGCCATTCAGGGTGCTGCTGTACTGCTCGATGTTCTTGCTGATCTCATGCTGGCTGTCCTGGATCTGGGAGAGTTTGCTTCGAGCCTGCAATAAGCATGTGTCAGGGTTATTGCTGCTTTTTGCATGTTTTATTTCTTTGTGATGCTATTATATGAAGCACTTTGTCTGGTGTCTACCTTCTAACTTCATAAGTAAACACATTAGCGTGACTGTGTTTAAAAAAAAGCAGGCATTTAGGCATTTGTCGCCCTCTAGTGTTCACTTTTGTTTCATATTTAAAGCAACGTTACACTTAAATTTTTAGAAATAGGTTCATTTTACAAGTCATAGTTCATTTTTGAATCTATAAAGCAGATCTCCGGTTTTCAGTACTTTTAGCTTAGCTTAGCATAAACCATGGAATCAGATTAGACCATTAGCATCTAGCTAAAAAAGACTTTCAATAATTTTCCAATTCAAAGCTTGACTCTTCTATACTTACACTGTGTACTAAGGCATAAAATTCAAGAAACCTTGCTGCCATACCATGATGCCATTCCCAAATTTTTGTTGCTTGGTTTGAACACTTTTTTTTAATTCAAAGGTTTAGTTGACCCATAAATGAAAATTCTGTCATAATTTACTCACCCTTTACTTGTTTAAAACCTTGATGCATTTCTTCTGTTAAGCACAAAAGAAGATGTCTTGAAAAATGTTGAAACCACTGTTTGACATTATGCAAATACACAGCACACGAAAAGTCCCCAACTGGGTAACTAGATTAAAAGCATTGTGTAATATCATTGCGCCTGGTACGGCAGCAAAGTTTCTTGATTATTAGCCCAGAATAAGAGTATATCATGAATTAGTCTGTATCAGCACACGATGTAACTATAGAAGAGACATTTGTATTTTTAAATATTTATACTGTGTATATACACTCACCAGCCACTTTACTAGGTACAACTGTCCAACTGCTCGTTAACGCACATTTATAATCAGCCAATCACATGGTGGCAATTCAGTGCATTTAGGCTAGTAGACATGGTCAAGACGATCTGCTGCAGTTCAAACCGAGCATCAGAATGGGGAAGAAAGGTGATTTAGGTGCTAGACGGGCTGGTCTGAGTATTTCAAAAACTGCTGATCTTGGATTTTCAATTACAACTACCTCTTGGGTTGACAGAGAATGGTCCAAAAAAAAGAAAATATCCACTGAGCAGCAGTTCTGCGGGTGTAAATGCCTTCTTGATGCCTTGTTGATGCCAGAGGAGCATGGCCAGACTGGTTCCAGCTAATAGAAAGGCAACAGTAAATTAAATAACCACTGGTTACAACTGAGGTATGCAGAAGAGCATCTCTGAACACACAAGACCGACCTTGAGGCGGATAAGCTACAGCAGCAGAAGACCACTCCTGTCAGTTAAGAACAGGAAACTAAAGCTACAATTCGCACCGGCTCACCAAATTTGGACAATAGAATATTGGAAGAATGTTGCCTGGTCTGATTAGTCTCGATTTCTACTGCAAAATTTGCATGGTAGGGTCAAAATTTGGCATCAACAACATAAAAGTATGGATCCATCTTGCCTTGTATCAACGGTTCAGGCTGGTGATGGTGTAATGGTGTGGGGAATATTTTCTTGGAACACTTTGGGCCCATTAGTACCTATTGCTGACAGATTACTGTTGCTAACCATGTCCATCTCAGTGTACTGATCTTCTGATGGCTACTTCCAGCAGAAAAAGGCACCATGTCATAAAGTGTGAATCATCTCAGACTAGTTTCTTGAACATGACAATGAGTTCACTTACTCAAATGACCTCCACATTCACCAGATCTCAATCTAATAGAGCACCTTTGGAATGGTGGAACGGGAGATTCACATCATGGATGTGCAGCTGACAAATCTGCAGCAACTGAGTGATGCTATCATGTCAATATGGACCAAAGTCTCTGAGGAATATTTCCAGTACCTTTTTGAATCCATGCCATAAAGAATTAAGGCAGTTCTGTAGGCAAAAGGGGGCCCAACTCGGTATTAGTAAGGTGAACCTTATAAAGTGGCCCGTGAGTATATATATATAAATATATATATGTGTGTGTGTGTTTGTGTGTGTGTGTGTAACATTGGCCTAAATCTTCCCAGCAGTCACGTTGATGTCAAAAATAAATAAAAAAACACGTAAAAAATGCTAATCGATTTGCTGTCACTAACTTTGTCAAAACAGCCAAAAACGGACAGTCCTGTCATGGATTTTTGATGCTAATGTTAGATGTTAATTTTACGTTGTTTTGACATCAAGATAGCTTACATTCATTGTAGTGATACAAAATGTATAATACGGTATTGAAGCGTCCAAACTTTTCTTATCTTATAATACGTTTTATGTCATTATTTTGATGGTCAAAAAGGCTTTAATCTGTAAATGTCAAATAGACATCAAGGTTTAGACTTTAAAACGGTTTGCATTTTTCGGCATGTTTTTGATGTCGTGGTGTACGTCGTGTTTGAGGGTTTGGTGAGCCTTTAAACTGCAGCACCTGGTTGATCTCGTCCTGTGTGGCTTTGAGGGACTTGATGATGGTCTCCAGCTGAATCCGTCCGGCTTGTAGACTCTGCTCCAGCTGAGCTTCCTCCTGCTGCAGGCGGTTCAGGTCTGCTTTGGCTCGGCCCAGTTCTTCCTCTTGGCTCTGCAGGTCAGACTCCTGCGAGTGTATCTGAGTCTGCAGAGAAGAGATCTGAACAGAGAGACGGAGAAGATGCTTGAACGTGCTTTACTAACACGGTAAATGGTCTTGTAGAGTTTTTCGCTCACCATTTGTGACTCTTCCTGGCACTTCTGTCGAACATCATTGAGCATGTCCTCCAGCTTAGCCTTCTGCTGGTCCATCTCCTCCAGCCGGTCCTGGGCATCCTGCTTCTGCGCCTCCAGCTCCTGGAGGCTCGACGTTTCTCGGTCCAAATCATTCTGCATCTCCTGTCAATCAAAGCACATCAAGTACAGTAAAGTGAAGTGAAATGAATTGATTGGTTTTATAAACTACAATAGATAAACCATAAACTAAATGTGGATTATACTTTATATAATTTTTGTAAATTAGGGTTGGAAAAATCTGATATTGTGATATTTCTGCGATAAGCATTGTGATCCGAATACAGTTTAAGAAGAAGGTTTGAATAGCTCCATATGATGGTTTTCTGGGGACTCCAGCAGTATTCCGGTACAGAAATGTAATAATCACAATGCAAAAAAAAATAATTCTTACTTTGTTTTGTCTTGTTTCTAGTCCAAATATTTTTTACAAATCTTAGACCAAGTAAAAATATTGTTTACTTTTCACTGTTAAAAGAAATAAGTAAAAATTAAGAGTTTTAAGAAAATTATATGCCAGTGGAGTAAGTGAAATAACCTTGTTTTGCAAAAATTGTGTAAATTCCATATAAACACAGAAAATGAATACAATTCTGTAGCTCCTGGTTCCTGGTCAACTATATTTCAGACTGGACATTGCATTTGTTTGCGATGTGACAGTGCAGACGCTGAAACGATACATTGTAAACTTAAAAATATATAATAAAATAAATTCAGTAAAAGTAAAGATTATCAGTTTAATTATAAAATTGTTATACATGCATTATAAATTAAATATGGATTATACTTTAAATATATATTAAAATATATTCACATTTATTAAACAATAATGAATATAGCACGATTTACTAATATATCATATAATAAATACTAAATGTATGTAAATATTAAACAATATTTTGTAGAATTACATTTATATTTTAATATATATTGTATTAACATTTATTTACATATGGTTTATTAATTGCTTTATTTGTTAATTAAATTATTGTATTAATTAAATATTTCAAGATTATTAGTTTGATTATTAAACTATTATACATGTATTATAAATTAAATGTAGATTATACTTGAAATGTATATATTAAAATATATTTGTGTTTATCATACAATACAATGAATATAGACGCAATAATAATATATCATGTAATCCATACTAAATGTATGCAATTATTAAACAACATTTTGTATTTTACCTTTATACATGATATTATATTAACATTTATTTACATATGATTTTATTGTTTTATTTACTCATTGTTTTGTTAATTAGCATATTTTATATTTATATACTTATATACTAAATATATGTAAAACAAAAATAAACATTTCATAAGTATATAAAAAATATTACAATACTTTTGTTAATATACATATGACACAATGGCAAAATCAATATGTTAAAATATAAAATATGCATTTAAATGTATTTACTTTGAATATATACAATAATACTTACAATATAGTAAATTTAAAAATAAAAAAATAAAAAATAAAAAAATATATATATAAAAAAATATATATATATAATCATTACTTGTAAAACAGCAAAAATCAATAACTTAAAATATAAAAAAAGCATTCATAAATGTACAATACATTAAATGATTAAATATGTTATTTTTTTCTAGTAATATTATTTTTATTATAATATTTTGTATATTAATAACAAATAACTTTTTAAAAATATATTATCTAACAGTCTAAATTCTAATAAATATATTCATTACAAAATACTAATAATTACCTTTAAATATATCCGTAACACATTAAGCATGACCCTATAATCAATAATATAAGTAATGATTTTAATAATAACACCGGATATACCTGAACCTCAGTGGTTTTGTGTCTGATGGCCTCCTCGGTTTCTCTAATATCTTGTTCCAAAGTGTACTTCTCTCTAGAAAAGTAAAAAAAGAATAGACACAAAAGCCTTTACCAACTGCTGACAGCGGAAAATATCCCTCGTACCAGACTCCTTTACACACACACACACACAAAATCAAGTACAGTTACAGTCAAGATAGGCTTTTACCTGAGTGTATCCCAGTGTGTGAAAGCAAGAGTGCTGAGGCAGCATGAATAAGCAAGTGAAACAAGAGATTTCATAAAATAAAAATAAACACATGAAAAGGACACTGAGGAGGAGGAGGAAGAAAGTGTGATGAGGGTCTGTCAGGGAAGAGAAACTCATCCGCCACCAAGAGCTTTCAGATACCTGTCCTGCTGCTTACAAGGGAAATAGGAGTCATATCGGGATCATCAGCTGTTCAAAAATGACAAATATACTGGAATGGGCCAATGGAGGGATATGAAGACTTGGGGAAGTGAAATGTGGAGAAATATGATGTAAAACATAATAAATAAAAATAAAAGTGTTTTAACTCTTTATCAAGTAAAGAACCCTATATTTTGTCTTCATTAACATTGATTACAACATATCATTTTTTAAAGCCATAAAAACTCTCATAATAATAATAATAATAAAATAAATAATAATAATAATAATAATAGTAATATAATAATAATAATAACAGTTTTTTTTCCTGGCAGTGAGTTTTTTTTAAGTATATATATATATATATATATATATATATATATATATATATATATATATATATATATATATATATATATATATATAGTGTGTGTTTAAGAGAACCTGAACTGTTTTTGTGCTTGCTAGTTATCACACAATTCAAGAAGACTGTATGTTTTTAAATATATTGTTTCTTTAATGTTTTAGAACACTAAGGCAACGTTCACATGGCAAGGCTTAGTGTTCAAAAACAAATCATGGTCCTAAACTGACCCGTATGTGCAAAAGTATTGTTACAGACATCACAAAATGTCTTATTACACTTATCACTTATCACTTATGCATGCAAGGTGTACACTGTATGATTTGAGCAATTTGTCAGATTATGCTTAATATGATTATTGCCCTTTTTACAGACAACCGTGGTGTATTTCATGAACTGTAAAGGGTTGTTCTGCTTTTACTAATGTGCCTTTCGCCATTTGAAACCTAAATTAAGTCATAAAACACTGATCATTTGTGATTTATGACAACTGCGGTGCGCTTCTTTCTGACCACCAGTGTAGTGGACTCTTTAAGGGTTAATAAGCAGCCGCAGACTGAACTGTGAAGCTGGAGTTGGTTTATCTCTGTTTGCAGAGATATTTCATTTTCATTTTTTATTTCATGTGCAGAAGGGGGGTTTGGGTGCTTGAACAGTTTTTTCAAAGTGAATAACCAACTTTCTGTGGTAAAGTAATTGCCCTGTGTGCCATTCTACTTTGCTGCTGAGTAAAGGATGTTTCTCAAAGATTATGTAAAAGTCACATGAAATCCTTCTTAAGCGTTCTAACTGCGGTCGCATTGCAAAACATCAGATCTGTGTCTGATTTAATACTATTCAATTCCATTCAATTCAATTTACCTTTATTTGTATAGCGCTTTTACAATGTAGATTGTTTCAAAGCAGCTTTAGATACACAATCATAGAAAACTGAAACAGTGTCAGTCCAGTTTTCAATTTTTAAATTCAGTTCAGTTCAGTTCAGTGTGGTTTAATAATCAATACTTAGAGTCCAAACACTGAAGAGAAAATCCATCGATGCGCAGCCCTACAGATCCCGAACCATGCAAGCCAATGGCGACAGCTGAGAGTTGCAGAGAGTAAGCTGTTGGCTGCCGGTCATTACCTCAGTCACATGTGGGCAAAATAATTCGGGCCACATTTGTGTGCAGTGTGAACGCAGCCTTGAAATATCGGCTAAAATTCGTAGAAAATTCTTATTACATTTTAAAAATGATTTATAATAAAATATTGAGATTTGACTTTTAATCACATTGCTTATCTTAGCTTTAATGTCAGTCCAGCACCAAAAAATACAACTAATTTGAATAATTCTGTATTTTTTGTTATTGTATTATAATCATTAATAATTTCATTTTTATATATTTTTTTCTTCAAATTTTGTATTTACATTTGACCTTAATGGCTAAACTAAGCATTTTCATATTGCAAAAAAATCTCAGTGATACTATTGATATTTTTCAGTGTATAATTATTTTTAAGAATTATTTGGTAAATAAAGTAAAATGAATTTTAAATATCAATCAGTATATCCTTGATGACTTTATAAAGTTAAAGGCAAAAATATTAGCCCTCCTGCGAAATTGTAACACTTGTAAATTTTTTCTAAATGTTGTTCAATATAGAGATTTGTTCAACACGATTCTAAACACAATATTTTTAATGACTAATTTCCAATAATTAATTTCTTTAGTCTTTGCCATGATGACAGTACACAATATTTTACTAGTTATTTTGGAATACTAGTACTCAGCTTAAAGTGCAATTTAGGTTAATTAGGTTTTTCATTAGTTATATAAATTAGGCAAGTCATTGGACAACAGTAGTTTGTCCTTTAGACAATTGGAACAATATATATTTCTCAGAACACTGACCTTTTTTAAATTTTTTAACTAATTTTATTATAGCCAAACAACAACTTTCTCCAAAATAAAAAAATATTATAGGAAATACTGTAAAGAAAATTCGTAGCTCTGTTAAAAATCACTTGGGAAATATTTGAAAAAGAACTAAAGATTTCACAGGAGGGCGAATAATTTTGCCTTAATCTGCCTGTGTCTGTCCTCACCTCTGCAGTTGTGCGATTTCTTGGCTGATATCATCCAGTTCTTTAATCCCGGTGAATTCTCCTGAACCCACAGAGCTGGAGCTGTCCTGTATGAGCAGATCCAGCAAACACACTCAGTGGCGGTCGGTTAAACCTCACACCACCACAGCACCACATAAACAGAAAGGGAAAGAGACACCAAAGAGCCACACAGGACCAGAAACCAGCTCGTCTTCCACCTCTGATGTTTAAAAACAAATAAAACAACAAAAAAACACCCAGGCTCATTGGAATTACGTGCCCAGGGATACATTTCTGAGAATCGAGAAATATGTACCGGATGCTACGTTTTCTTGCAGTTTTGGTTTTCACAAATCCACTAGAGGCCACCATGTACATTTTTGACGATCTTAAAAATGTTACTGGGGCAAACTTTCTCATATTCCATTTCTCGTAAATCCACTAAAGGCCACTGTGTTTATTTCTGTGTACGTCCTTCTTGCCATGATGGTACATTCTAATGTTGACACGATACTAGAATTTCGGTACCAATCAGTACTGAAAACTTAAAAACATCCAGAAATTACTGTGATTTGCTGTGAAGGTCATCAGTTCACTGCTCTTCACCGGTGTTCACCAAATGCAAACACAGATACACACAACTGTTGCATTTCAATACCACAAGCATCAAGCGAGAGTAATTTACATATTAAGTCACTCCAAAGATGCCATCAGACATTTTGCAGTGCGAATGATCGATTGAATGACATGCCGTGAATTGAGCGTTCTGGACGTTTGACGTGCTTAATTCGTGATTTGCATGAATCGCTCAAGTTAAAAAAATCTAAACTTTGGTGGACATTCATGCCACGTTAACCAATCAGGAGCTTGCTCTAATAGGGTCGTGACGTAGCACCTGTAGTTTTTGTCCTGGGGGGAAATCCTATTGCCGACACAACAGCTCATCAAAGTAGGGCCGACTTAGTCGGAAGTACCTTTGAAAGTGTCCGCCATTCAGGCACCGCTTCTAGGGGAGTTGATGAACTCACAGAGCTAGGTGCATCTCTAAAGAATCTGAAGGACCCAAACACGGCGCTGAACAAATCTACGCTGTTTTTCAGCCATTTTAAAGCACATAAAGCTAGCTACTCTCTCAATAAAATGCATGTCAGCCATTAGCAATGAAACTGGAATTACCAGGCAAACAGATGCCCCTCTCACGACACGAATCCACATCAATCGTGAAGTGAATTTAAAACATGAATTTGATGCACAATTGAAGCAAGTAAACTTAAAATGTTCATGATGGAATTATGTCCATGATAGAAGCCGGTTGGCCTGTCATCATGCGTAATATATCAGCTTGAAATTGACTGACCCACACAAACCCAAGCAATAGTGTTTAAAAAAGCAAACTAGAAGAAAAAAGTAATCACGGCCGCATGCTTCTACCACTACGTTACACAGCTTCTTTTTGAGTTTCATTTTACCTGCTTTCTGGTACCGTCCTTTGCTGGACTCGAACCCCGGTCTGCTCTGCTCAGTGCCCCAAGTTTAACACTGTTCACGGTGAGCTACTGTGCAAGGCAGTCAGGCCGGATACGGAGATAAGTGCTGCCTCGTAGCATTCATTTTACACACATATTGCAGACATATGTACCCACAAGCACATATTTCTCAGTTCTCAAAAAATGTATCCCTGGGCACATTTTCCCAATCAGCCTGTGTTGAAAAAAAAAAACATAGGGGGAAGTCACGGCACCATTTCACAGCACAAATGCTTTCCAACTCAACGGCTCCACTAGCAGAGCATCCAAAGCATTTGTTTGGGGCTTCTTCCAAACATTTACCTACCCACAACTTGAACATTATTGCCTGATTTTGATGTTAGATTAAACATCAGCAGCGTTGAAGTGTGGATGGAAAGGAACAAAAGATTGTTTTCGTGATTGGATGTTAGTGGCTCTCCTGAACGGCTACAGATTCATCTAGTAAAGCTTTTGGGTTTGTCAGGATTATATAATAAAAGAGAGAAAAGGAGGTCGCTTACCCGGCGCATCTCAGTCAGTGCGGCCATGTCAGATCCCACCGGTGTCATGTATCCTGACAGACTCTAAAACAGCGCAGAAAGAGCTTTAAATCAGAGGTTCAAGCTAAACCTTCTATTGTTTTTCAAAAACAACAACTTTAATGAAACAGTTTTGATTAACATAAATTATAACAAGCTAAATTTACAAAAATAATGTTTATATGTGTATTTAGTGACGTTTATTTATAATATATAATATTATATGATGTCATGGCTTTGCAATCAAAAATGTCATTATAATGGAAGTCAATAGGGCAAAAACAGCCATGAACATAACGAAAGAGTAGTAAATTTGCCCAGAGGGTATTGTTAATTTTTTTATTTATAAAACATTTTGCCCAAGTATGTGTCAAAATAAGAAATATTATTCCCTTTGCTGAAACACAGAGAATACTGTGGCCAAATTAGGACTCAAAATCACTCCAGAATGGATGAAAACATCCCGCACAGCACACAAGGGTTAAGGGAACGTTATTTATTTAATGCAGTTGTCTTTTTATTTGAATCTAACACTTTATCAAATAATATATTTATTTTTATTATTAGCTCATTTAATTGTTTTAGTTCTAGTTAAAAAAATGGCAACACAAAACTTAGACTTATAGACATATTTATAGTAGATATTTACTAGACTTATGGTAAAAATGTGGCTAAATCATACATGTTCAGTGGCTCACTTCCTTCAGATTTAAAACATCAACCTATCAGTCCAATGCAGAAGCCTATCATGCATTTCCATAAGTGTAAAGTGGTAAACATGAGACTCACAGGTCCCGGTGTGCCGCGTTCAGATGGTGGGATCATGTCTGGTGTCAAAGCCTGCGGAGGATCCAGACCTTTGCTCACTTTCTGCTGAATTAGATACATGGCTAAGGAGAACTGCTCGCGTGTGAGTTTGCCCATCTGCCTGGTGTCCGCCAAAGCCCTGACAAACACAGCAGAGTGATGAAGTGATGAATCTGGCAACCACGACAAAAAATTCAAATGTTAAAATTTTGTTGTTACCAAATGTGTGCCAGAAGGTTCTGATGAAGTCCAGACTGCATGAAGATGTCTTTAACTTCTAGTCCGCTGACAAAACCATCCAGATCTGTGTCTGTTTTGAGGAAGATGTCATCATAGCGCCCCCTGTCTGCAACCGGCACTACCCAGTTTACTGAATGCTGAGGGATGAATAAAACATTCATCTTTAAGGCATAAAAACAATGCAGGTGGTGAAAAGCGAATAAAGTTATTTAAACATGTGATATTTAAATATGCAAATGAGGCATTCTTTAATTAAATATGCATCTGGTGTCAACCTGGTAAAAGGGGTGGTTCTTTTTTCCCAAAAAGTGGATCTTTTTGCGGTTATAGGTATATAATACTGCATTTTAGTGACATTTTAAGCACAAGTTTAGCTGAACTAGATTGCCTGATGGTCATAATAACCACATTAAGTACATTTGAAAATTCATGGATAACAACAAAAGAAAAATAGTATTCAAATTCATTTTAATATTGGTCGCATTTGGTGATTCACACCTGTTCATTGGTCATTTTTTTTGTTCCAAGATTAAGATTAAAGGTTACTTGTCATATATTTTCTCTGTTTAAAAACAATACAGTAGTGAAAGATGACTTCACCACATCCGATTGTGTGTTTTGTTGCACAGCTGGATGATGGACACGTGAAAAATAATTTTCAGTATTGGCCAATACTGATTAGCGGAAGTCACTCAAGTGACAGCTGACAAAGGATTCCATTTGGTCTTAAAACCTTTTTCAATGGGTTATTTTCATATTTATGATAGCTATTCATGATTTCTATTTATGATTGCATAGAAGTCATATAGGACAAATGAGCTTATGTATTGGACAAATTCTGGATCTTTGCTAGTGAGGGGTGGGTCTTTAATACCACCCAAACGCCCTCTGACTACGGGCCTGAAAAGTCAGGTTTTGTTTTTCTTTTTGACATATTAGAGTAAAAGTTTATTTTAAAGAGGCCATTCTGGAAATATCTTTAGCACTCCATAATTCAGAAAATACGTAAAAGTGAAAAAGCGAAGTGAAAGTCTTGAAATGTGGCCACATATGGTAACCGAAGCCCGGAATTTGTGCTGTCTATTTAACCCATCAAAGTGCTTTATATACACAATGTTTGATATATTAACCATTGATACACTGAAATGCATTCAAGTGGGTGTCATATTGTGGTAAAAATGATGTTTATGATGATTAAAATGATATGGCAGGGAACTGTGCTGTTTTAGAGCTTTGTGTTTTGAGGAAACTTCAAAAATGTGTATTGTAATTGAAATCTACAGATGCAAATTGATGAAGTGTGAAAAAAGAAAAGTTTTGAATGTTTTATTTAAATTTTACTGTGAAAAAAACTGTAGTCTCAGAAGTTTCGTAAATGACAGGTGCATCAAAAACTACGTGCCTTGCCTTAATTGTTGGGTAAATCCTCCATATAAGTGTCAGGGTCTCTGCAGGTTTCTAAGAGTTATATTTAAGACTGTTTAAGACCTTTTTTAATACAAAACGTAATGAAATTTAGGACCAATAGAAAACTATCATTTTAGAGTATCGAATTTTCAAAACAAAAGCACACAACACAAATAACAAAGAGCGATTTGCTTGCATAAGCGAAATCTATTTCAGGGGTGTCCAAACTCGGTCCTGGAGGGCCGGTGTCCTGCAGATTTCAGCTCCAATTTGCCTCAACACACCTGCTAGGATGTTTCTAGAAAACCTAGTAAAAGCTTGATAAGCTAGCCCAGGTATGTCTGATTGGCGGTATGTCTTTGGACTGTGGGGGGAACTGGAGCACCCTGAGGAAACCAACGAGAACACGGGGAGAACATGCAATCTCCACACAGAAATGCCAACTGACCCAGCCGGGGCTCGAACCAGCAACCTTCTTGCTGAGAGGCGACAGTGCTACCCACTGAGCCACCGTGCCACCCAGGCCTTATTATTATACTATGGAATTTAAGATATTATAAGGATCTGCAGACACCTTGAGTGTATGTACCTGTGAGGATTTGAGCGTGTGTTTTGGGGACAGACTTCCGGCGCTGTTGAGCGAGTTCATGCTGCCGTGAGAGGGAGTTGAGCGCAGGCTGTCTTTAGGTGGCGGTGGGCTTCCCGGTAACACTGGCACCATGCTGGACAATGACCCTGACGACTTCTTTCTTTTGGATGGAGGGATGAGTGAGGAGGGCAGGACGGACGGCACAGGCTCCTTCTCCAGTGCGCGGTACACCAGATGCATTGCCTGTACAACAGGTGACATAAATTAAACTAACATACTACTTATACTTAGTTTGTATTGAGCTATAGTCTGATTAAGGAACGGCCACATAAACAACAATGGAGGACATACAGCAGATCCTGTTCTTGCTTCTGGGGATATGTGGCTTTTTTGTCACCAGAAGAGACACTAATTCTAGAGCATGGTTTCATTCTTGCATGCTTTCATAATATTACTGCGATATATGTAAAAATGGTGCTTCCTGTCTTTTACCTCCCTCACTGAAAAAATGCTGGGTTCCACACAAAAAGATTTGTGTAGGGACAACATGAAAGAATTATGTTAACTTATTAGTTTTTACAAATTTAAGTGGATTGAACGTAAAATAATGAAGTTGTCCCCACAAAAAATACCATTTTTTTGAGTGGCTGTCTTGTTACATGTGCAATTGGCAATTCTCTCTGAACCAATCAGTGCTCAGTAGTGAGTCTTGCTCCCCCTTTTTAATACGGTACTGTTGTTCTACCTTTACAAAAGTGGTAGGGTATGATTTGCTATTTTGGTACTTTTGATAGAAAATACGCATGCACTGTACACTATTAAAAATGAAGATAAAGGTCGGGGGGTCACGTGGCCAGGACTAAGATGGCAGCTTGATTTGAGAGCTCCGACAAACCGTGCAAAATCTAAATTAAATACCCTCAAAAAAACCATCAAACTTAGAAAATAACATCGGCGCTGATATGTCAAAACCTTCCGTGACCAAACAATGTGACATTTTTACCCGAGGACGTAAGGCCGCCGTTAAAACTTCGACGAGTGGATCAAGTGAAGTGGAAGATAACGCCACACACATGGATAACTTAACAGAAGTTTTAAGTGAACTGAAATCGCTCAGAGCAGATATCGGAACCAAGCTGGACAACATTGACAGTCGATTGACCGATATGGCTAGCTCAATGTCAGCGCTGGAAAGTAAAGTGTCCGAGATGAAACGCGATGTTTCTTCCAACGCCGCTCGTGTAGAAGTAGCCGAAGGACGCATTCACGATACGGAAAGGGCACTTGAGAAAGCAGAGGCTGCCCTCGATTCGGCTATGAAACGCATAACTTATCTTGAATCAAAGACAGACGACCTGGAAAATCGAGGCAGAAGGAAAAACCTTCGGCTTAATGGAATTCGGGAAGGTGCCGAAGGCCAAAAGTCTCTTTTTGAGTTTGTAAGTGCCAAGCTACCACAGTGGCTCGAGATGGATCCTGACAAGACGTTTACTTTGGAACGGGTTCACCGCACGCTAGCACCTGAAAAGCCCAACAAAAACAGAGCAATCCTCATCCGCTTTTTAAAGTTTCAAGAGAAGGAATTCGTCTACCGTGAATCCAGGAAGCGAGACATCACTTACGATGGGGCAAAAATCTATTTCTCACAAGATCTTTCGGCGGAGACGGTGCGCATCCGACGGGGATTCAACCCAGTCACAAAGCTATTTGTGGATATCAACGCTTTCCGAGGGTTTCAACATAATCCTTGCAAGCTAAGAGTGTTGCATGATGGCAAGATTCATCTCTTTTCGAAGCCGCAAGAAGCCGAGAAATTCTATAAAAGCATCCCGCAGCCAATATAAGGGATGGTTTACTGTTGACTACCTGCTGGACTAATCAAAAACTTTGCAGAAATATACCACCAGTCGTGGTCAACGGTGGACGATCGACGTAGATGTTACAGTAGGGTTGTGTTTAAAATATAACGTTATAAAAGTTGTTGTTTAAGTTAATAACGTTATAATTTGTAAAGGTAATTTATGTCACTTTGGTATATAAGTTAACCTAATAGGATTGTATTGGGTATTATCGTTGGTTTAATATTCAAAGGGTATTGTTCTATATGTTCTATATGTTTAAAATACACTATTATGTTTGGTAATACGTGCAAAAAGTAAGATGATTTTGCACGGTTGAAGGTCATGGGCTGGGCTACGCAGACTAGTTGCTCCTCGAAGACTGTGGATCAGCGTCCCCAGCGTTTCCAATCAAGGGGAGGGTTAGGCATTTTTGTTGAAAATGCCAGAGTTAAAAATGTAAGGGGGGAGGGAATCGTTTGCACTCACACCACCAGTTTTTTTTATTTTTTTTATTCATTTTTTATTTTTTCCTTTCCCATTTATTATTTTATCTTCTTACAATTTTATTTTATCTTTTTCTTTTCTTTTCTTTCTTTGTATACTGGGACTATAACCTATGGATAAAACAAAACAAAGTAGTACCTTAGAAAATATTATAATTACAAGTTGGAATGTCCGGGGGATAAGAAAATTGATAAAACTAAAATTAGTGCTGAATAGATTAATTTATCTCAAATCTAAAATAGTTTTTTTGCAGGAGACACATTTAACTGCGTCCGATATCCATAGCTTGGGTAGAAGATGGCCAGGCCAGGTATTTCATGCAACCTTTAACTCACATGCAAGGGGTGTAGCTATTCTTATTCATAGGTCTCTATCATTACAAGTAAAAAAAACTATTCAAGACCCTTCAGGAAGATATATTATTGTTCAAGGAAATATTTTAAAACAAAAAATAAACTTAATAAATATTTATGGTCCCAATGATAATACTCCCTTTTTTAAGAAAGTCTTTCTGACTGTGTCTGCATTAGAGGGATTTAATATAATTGGAGGAGATTTTAATTGTACACTCGATCCAAAATTGGATAGGTCCACTCAAATTGATACAACTCATATTCAAAATAGGAAAATGGTAATTGGTTATATGAAAGACTTAAGCTTAATTGAAATATGGAGAAGATTAAACCCAAGTAAAAAAGAATATTCTTGCTACTCAAGTACATATAAAACCCATTCAAGGATCGATTATTTTCTTATTTCAATGGAACTTTTGCCAAACATAAAGAAATGCTGGTATAACAGCATAGTAATTAGTGATCATGCAGCAGTGTCTCTGGAAATTCATTTAGGTACGGTTGATCGTCATCCTAGATGGAGGTTACAAACCTACTTGTTAAAAGACCCAGATTTTACTACATTTGTAGAAAAGAGTATTGACCAATATTTTGAATTAAACACAAATGAAACTACGGCTAATATTAGATGGGAAGCTTTCAAGGCCTATATAAGGGGAGAAATTATAAGTTACACAAGCGCCAAAACGAAACAAAAAAATCAAGAATTGAAATTACTAGAAGACCAAATTAAAAAATATGAAATTGAAATTAGTATTGATAATAACCCTGACAAATTACATAATTTAGCTATTATGAGAGCCAATTATGATAAGCTAGCAATTGAAAAAGTGGCAAAAAGTCTTTTATGGACCAAACAAATGTACTACGATCAAGGGGAAAAAGCTGGTAAATTATTAGCATGGAGGATAAAGAAAATGCAATCTGAAAGGACAATTAAAAGTATAAAATCGAAATCTGGAAATTTAACTTCAGATTCAAAAGAGATTAATGAACGGTTTAGTGATTTTTACCAAACTCTATATAAATCTGAAAGTAATAAAAATATTAATGTGAAAAAAATATTTCTGGATCAGTTACAATTCAGGACCTTATCAGAGGATGAAAAGACAACACTAGATAGTCCATTAACTGTAGAAGATCTTAGTGAAGCTATTGGTGATATGAATAGTGGCAAAGCACCAGGACCGGACGGTCTTCCTATTGAATTCTATAAAACATTTAAAAAACAACTTTTAAGGCCATTATTAGATATGTATGAAGAATCATTTAAAGTAGGAATGCTTCCCGACTCATTAAGATTAGCAATAATAACTTTAATATTAAAACCTAATAAACCCCCAACCGAATGCTCGTCTTACAGACCCATTAGCTTAATGGGATGTGATATAAAGATACTTTGCAAAATACTTTCTAGAAGACTAGACCAGTACCTCCCTCAGTTAATTGCTGATGATCAACAAGGTTTTATACAAAAAAGACAGGGATACCATAATATCAGAAGGGTCTTGAATATATTATATGAGAAACATAATGAGAAAAATACAGCAATGCTATCAATAGATGCATGCCAAGCATTTGACCGGATAGAATGGGACTATCTTTTTGAAGTGCTCCCAAGATTTGGACTTGGTGAAACATTTCTTAAATGGATTCGGCTTTTGTATACAAGCCCAACTGTTGAAATACTAACCAATAATATAGTTTCAAAACCTTTTAATTTGCAGCGATCTACCCGTCAAGGATGCCCCTTGTCCCCACTGTTATTTGTACTGGCAGTTGAGCCTTTAGCTATGTCAGTAAGAACAAATCCAGAGATATCAGGTATTACAATTGGGAGGAAAGATCACCGCATTTCTTTATTTGCAGATGACATAATACTATTTATGACAGATTTGTTAAATACTATTCCTAAAATTATGAAACTAATTGAAAATTTTGGACTTGTTTCTGGATATAAAATTAACAACTCAAAGTCAGTATTATTATTTCTAAATGAAGAAGAAAGACATAAGCCCACAATAAAGACTCCATTTAGAGTAACTACTGATGGTTTTAGTTATTTAGGTGTTAAAATTATCCCCGACCTTAATAAAATTGTATCAACAAACTATGATCCCCTTATGGACAGAACCACTAAAGTATTACAAAAATGGTCAAATCTACCAATATCTATGATTGGCCGAATTAATATAATAAAAATGTCTATTTTACCTAAATTTTTATATTATTTTCAAACACTCCCACTACCGTTACCAAATACATTTTATGATAAACTAAATAAACTGCTTGCCCAGTTCATTTGGAATGACAGAAAAGCCAGACTTCGCCTCAAGCTATTACATTTACCTTATGAAAGGGGAGGTCTGCAATTTCCAAATTTCAGATGGTATTACATGGCTGCCCAGCTGACCACAGCAGTATATTATTTCTACACAACAACGCCCCCAGCATGGGTAGATATTGAACAAACCTCCACCCCAGATTTACCATTAAAAATGTATTTATATTCATCAGATATTAAGTCACTGAAAAAAAATACCAAAAATCCATTTCTAAAAAATACAATTTCAATTTGGCATTCCTCTCATAAACATATAGATAATGTGCCCAAATTGTCACAGTTCACTCCTATCTGGGGTAATAAACAATTTATTCCTGGTAATAAAGATGGAGGTTTCAAGTTGTGGAATACAAGAGGCATCCAAAGTATAAGAGATTTGTATAAAGATGGGATTTTACTTTCCTTTGAGCTTTTATGTAAAAAATATGTGGTTCCTAAAAAACATTTCTTTAAATACCTACAGTTAAAGAGTTACATGTCATCAAAAGAAACACAGATTAGTTGTATACCATCTTTATCAAAATTGGAGGAGATAACTATCCAAAATTTAGAAGGAAGAGGTCATGTTTCTATATATTACAATTTTATGGTCAAACATAGTAATGAATCAACATTGGATAAATTAAATGCCTGGAAAGCAGATATGCAAGAGGAGATAGACGAGGCAGACTGGAATTATGTTTGCTTAAAAGCTCAAACGCAAACAATAAATACCAGGTTTAAACTACTTCAATATAAATGGTTAATGAGAATGTATATAACCCCTGTGAAACTTCATCACATGTCTGCTAATATTCCAGATGTGTGTTCTAAATGTTTAGATGATAAAGGTACACTATATCACTGCCTCTGGCAATGTCCTAAAATACAAAAGTTTTGGAAAGATATAACTGTATGTATGTCAGACATGTTTAATATTAAAATTCCTTTAAATGCCAAGCTCTGTATTCTTGGGTTGTATCCTAAGGAACTTACAATTGGAAATACAAGAATTTTGGATTTTGGTTTCCTTCAAGCTAGAAGGGCTATTGCATTATACTGGAAACACATGGATGCTCCATCCATAGAAATGTGGAAAAAAGTAATATTGAACTGTATTGGACTGGAGAGACTAACTTATATCATCAAAGGCAAGCAGAAGAACTTTGACTATCTTTGGGAACCATATATGAATATTATGTAAATTGTGTGTTTGTAAACATGTTTTTTATTTATTAATACTTTTTTTTTTCTTCCTTTTTTTTCTCTTCCCTTTTTTTTTTTTTTTTTTTCTCTTTTTTTCTTTTTTCTTTTTCTTTTGTATTATTGCGTTATTGTTCATGTCACACATATATATAATTCAAATATTGTATATGTATGTATGTGCGTATGTGTGTGTATGTATGTGTATGTATATATTTATTACTATGTGTATGTATGTGTATGTATGTGTGTGTATATGTATATATATGTGTATGTGTATGTATGTATATATATATATATATATATATTTTTTTTTTTGTATGTATGTATGGGTGTATATACATATATATAGAAAGGGTGTAGGTATGTGCTGTGTAGGCTGCATTGTTGTCTGTATGCCTAGTTGATGGGGTGAAAAGGAAAAAAATCAATAAACATATTGGGAAAAAAAAAAAATGAAGATAAATAACTAAGTTGTCCCAAAAAAAAATAAGAATTGTGTTGTTTCAACTCCATACTCCATACTGCTCAGTGGAAACAGCCCATTAGATTCTTGCCTTAAATGATTAAAAATATATTTGAAAAAATATTTATATTTATTTTTTAAAAATCATTCAATGTTAAAAACATGACAATATTTCTTATTGTATGAATCAAAATGTTCATCAATATATACACCAAACATTTATTGAGTGATACAATATGATAATATGAGTGTTTAATAATAACATATCAATATGGCTGATATAACAGTCTATCATCATTCAGGTATATTTAGAAAATATGAAACCAACCGATTACCGGCTGCACATATAAAACAAGCATATAAAAGAACAACTGATCACAAGAATTGTGTTATAGTCTAAATTACTAAAACTTATTGTTAGGTAAAAAATTGTGAAAGTGTAAAACTTTTAAAATGACAATTATTTCATTAAAATTGAAAGTAAATTAAATTGAAATTAATGTCAAATATTTTCAGACTTTTCTATATTCTGATAAAAATATGTGATGGTTAATATGTTTTGCTCCAAAAGAAAAACATGATTTAAGATGATAGATTTGAATGGACAATTTTTTTGCATTTTTAAATTGACTTAAAGTTGCATACTGCACTCAGTATGTTGACATGATAGTATGTATTACGCGATAAGGATTTTAACATTAAAAAACTAATTACTCACCACTGCAAACTCATCTCTGTCCAAGTGTCCGTCTTTGTCTATGTCACTCAAATCCCACACCTGATCAAACAGACAGATTTAATAATGTCATTATTATAAAATATTATTCAAATAAATTCAGAAAAACATCACAATTAAATACAAACTATTATTTAAAAATATATATATAATAATTAGTACAAATTAATAATAATAATTTATTAAATTTGTTATCATTATAAATAGTTTAGGATTATGGGTTCATTCAATTTATTTATTTATTTATTTTTACCTTTCCGAGAACATCTACAGGTAGTTTGGAGTTAATCAGTACTGGTTTGACCTTCTCACCAGACAGTAATCCGTTCACCGGGGCAAGACTTTCAAAAATACCATCAAATTTGCTCTTCTCTTCAGGCTGAAAAATAAACAAAGAGATTAAGAACAAAAAAAACATTACAAAATCTTTTATAATACACAATCACAAAGACAAGCAAAGTTAAATTACCCGCACAGCCCAGTGACTCTCATTAGTAGATGTTACTGAGCTCAGTGATGGACTACTGTGATCCTTCTGGAATAAAAAGTGTAAAAAGAAAATGTCTGTGAGCTCATACCAATCATATACAAAAATATCAACTATATATAATGAGACTTACGAATTTTGGTGGAGGAACAGGGAGATTTAAACTGGAAATGCTGATGTCGTGGCCGCTCTGTGCACATGCCACGAGACGCAAAGCAACGTAAAATCCCTAACAAACAAACCATAACAGATCAAGTCAGCATCCAATTTCATTCATTTATTAATTTTCTTTTCGGCTTAGGCGCTTTATTAATCCGGGGTCACCACAGTGGAAGGAACCCCCAACTTATTCAACATGTTTTACTCAGCGATTGCCCTTCCAGCTGCAACCCATCACTGGGAAACACCCACACACTCTCGCATTCACACTCATACACTACGGACAATTTAGCTTACCCAATTCATCTATACCGCATGTCTTTTGACTGTGGGGGAAACCGGAGCACCCGGAGGAAACCCACGCCAACACAAGGACAACATGCAAACTCCACACAGAAATGCCAACTGACCCGGCCAAGGCTTGAACCAGCAACCTTCTTGTGAGGTGACAGCACTGCCCACTGCACCACCGCGCCGCCAGCATCGAATTTACAATTGCTAAATTCCATTAAAATGTAAACATTTTTTTTACTATTATGCTACATAATGCATAGCTTTTGTTGATAACTATAGCTAGCTAAAGATTCATGTTAACTGAATAAAAATCTGAAATAAATTATATTAAAATATTACATTAAAAACTTTAGTTTTTACCAAATAAATATGAACATGATAATCTCAATTTGAACTTGACAATCTTATTTCTCAACAGTAGTCATGACAAAATGGCCAAACAACGTTGTTGTAACAAACGTGAACAAAAACCACCAGGCTATAAAGCTTGACAATTGGCTTTTCTGTATGAAAGGCGGGACTTCTTATTGACCATTTCCACTTTATCAAGCTTGCGTTTCCACTGCCAAAAGGATATCCTTTTGGTGTGCGTGGTGTGCGACAGAGTTTCAGACGACGTCATTTTTACTTAAGGAAATGTCACAGTAAAGCCATACGGGTCGTTCATATGATCATATGAGAAGCACTTCTCACAAAACTGATGCTTTATACACATAAATACTTGTCTATAAATGTTCATTAACACCCTTTCTATGAACATGATTAGATTATAACTCCAGATCAATGACAGAGCGAAATAGCCTACAGTAACGTCTGCAGTTATATAAAATAAATGAATAAATGCAACATATATAAACACATGCAGACCATTACAGTCTCCGATTTGTTATTAATTACCGAAAACTACACACAGCATACATTTAGGCCTTATTTGGGTTCAAAAACAACAGGCAACATATAGCCCACAGACAGTGCAAACCTCTCATTTGTGTCTTTAATATTCAGCAGCACATGTAACCTCTGTTAGAGAGTAATTCCGTCATTCCGAGTGCATAATAGTCTGAAAGGTGATGATCATAGTTAAACATGGCAGTTTGTTAATGTTTTAGGTTGCTAAAAGCATCATTTGCTGCTGTTTTTTCTGGCTTCTCCTTTGTTTTTTCGCGCTTAACTCTTGCGTTTGTCTCGTTCTGACAGGATCGGATATCACAGCTCTTCAATGATCAAATGTACGTTATTAATAATACTAATTTGAACTATTTATCTATTTTTAATTTCTATTAATTAATTTAGTTTTTTTAAATTCATTTACTTATTTTATTTATTATTATTATCATATTTCTGCTCATTTATTTAATTGTTTTTATTTTTTCTCTTTTGCATTGTTAAAATGGGCATTATCTGTTGGTTTGTTTTAATGTGTTTGTAACTAATAGTAAATATATTCAAAAAAATAACAAAACAAAACACATAAATAACACTAATAATGCAGTATATGTCCTCCTTTTTTCTGATGTGTCATGCATATAACTGTTTAACATTCAATTTAATCAGCTACAACAGCTTTACCTGTTTGTCCAAGAAACCTTTGCCATCTGGATCAGCTAAATCCCAGATCTGAGAGGAGACGAGAAGGTAAATGGGGATTATAATTATCCAGAATTAAGATTTAATCGTTTTACCAAAACACCAACCTTTCCTAATGTGATGTCAGGCAGACCAGATTTCTTCAAGAACAAGGCAGCCTCTGTTGGTCCAACCCTACCGGTGTTTCCTGGGTCGACCTTTATTTACAAGCACATTAAAGAGAATGAAATAAGCTCAATATTGATTGAGTATGAAGGTATTGTTAAAATGCAGTCAAATGAGATGCAACATAAATGTCCTTACCTGTCTGTAAAAGTTCTCATATACAGGGTTTCCGCTTGACAGCTAAGAAACAGAAGAAAACGGGAGAAGCTTTAGGATTAAATCCATTTAAATAGAATATGCTGATAATATGTCGGATTGAGATATATGTTTTTAGTATTATGTAATATAATGTAGTGTTTTTGTTAACTAAAGCTTCTAAACATGCTTTTTGTTAGTTGACATTTTTTATTTGTACCGTTGAAGTTAAAATTATTAGCCCCCCTGTTTATTTTTTCCCCACATTTCTGTTTAACAGAAAGATTTTTAGAGATATTTTCAACACATTTCTAAACATAATAATTTTAATAATCTATTTCTAATAACCGATTTATTTTATCTTTGTCATGATGACAGTAAATATTATTTGACTAAATGTATTTTTATTATTAAAAACTGCTTTTACTCTAGCCAAAATAAAACAAATAAAATTTTTTCCAGAAGCAAAAATATTATTAGACATACTGTGAACATTTCTTTGCTCTGTTAAAAATCATTTGAAAAATATTTTTAAAAAAGAAAAAAAAATTCAAATTCAAATAATTCTGACTTTAACTGTAATTAAAAATTAAATATAAATATTACATTAAAAAACTAAAACATCAAATAAATATATAAATAAATGTTGCAGTACTAAAATTATTAAAAAATAATAAATTGAAATTTTGTCAAATTAAAATTAAAAAAATACATAAATTATTAAGACTTAAAAAACTTTGTGGCTGATTTATGCTTGATTAGACTTAAAACAAAAAAACTTTACTATAATATAATATAATATAATATAATATAATATAATATAATATAATATAATATAATATAATATAATATAATATAATATAATATAAAAAATCATAATCACGATTATTTTGGTCATAATTGTAATCACGATTATTTAAAACGATTACTGTTAAAGTCAAAATTATTAGCGCTACCGAGAATTTTTTTTTAAATAAATATTTCCCAAATTATGTTTAACAGAGCAAGGAATTTTACCAGTATTTCCTCTAATATTTTTTCTTCTGGAGAAAGGCTTTTTTATTATTATTTCGGCTAGAATAAAAGCAGGTTTAAATATTTTGAAAGAAATTTTAAAGTCTATAATATTAGCCCCCTTAAGCAATACATTTTTGATTGTCTGCAGAAGAAACTACTGTTATACGATGACTTGCCTACTTACACTAATTAAGCCTTTAAATCGCACTTTGAATCTAAATGCATGTATTCTGAAAAATATCTAGTCAAATATTATGTGCTGTCATCATGACAAAGATAAAATAAATCAGTTATTAGAAATGAGTTATTAAAACTATTATGTACAGAAATCTTCTTTCCATTAAACAGAAATTGGGGGGACAGGGTTGCTAATATTCAGGAGGGCTAATAATTCTGACTTCAACTGTATATATACAGTTATTTTCTACCCTGCAAAGGAAAGAGAAATAAATACAATAGAACAAAAATATGAAACAAACTGCTTTAAGCATCTTTACTGTAAGAAAAACATTTTAGCAACAAAAGTCCTTCAGTCAAGAGCAGAGAGGCATGTTCTCCATTTGTTGTTTGATTAATAATGATAAAAATAGGCGGCAGAAGGATTATCGCACACTGTCACTTTAACGGTTTCTCTTTCGCGTGTCTTTTGATTCTCAACTCGTATGTTTATTACACAAATGAGGGTTAATACGAATAATCACTAAACACTGCGTTTTGACACCTATTTGACCATTAAAGCGCTCACGTTAAGATGACTAGACGTGTGCGCACTCCTCTTCTCAGTGTGCGAGTGAGACCAAATGCTGACTGCATGCTTCTGTTCTGTATGTGGGCGGCACAAACAATCATGCGGTCTTTCGCGCTTTTAAGAGTAACACGTTTACACCTGGAAAAGGGGTGGTAAATGATGCAATAATCGTTTATCTCGATTAATGGTTTTTCATAATTGTTAGAAGGCAAAATCGAAATCAAAATTGGATTTCGATTAATTGCACAGCTCTAATATACACTTCACTATTATGGGATATGATGCAAAAACAGATTTACTTCATGGTTTTACTAAAAAAACATGGTAACTTTGCTACACCTTATTACACAGTAATTGCAAAAATAATGCATAATTACATGCAAATAACTAGGGATGTAACGCTATTGTAAATACCGTCATACCGCAATATTAATTTTTTTCGATATTACCGTAGTCGCATGACTCGGTAAAACTATAGGTCTTCTGAGAAAATTTGCTCAGGCGAATGAAGCGAATGGGAGGTAGCGGAAACTACAATTCCCATCAGCCCAGGCTTGGCCATCATCCCTTGCCGTCTGTTGTCGCTACAGATCCAGTAATGCGAAAATGGAGTGTGCTGCTAGAAGCGGGGATCAAAAAGAGCTGGAAATGATCGAACCTGAAGCGGGTGTTGTCGCCGCAGGCGTACTGAATAGCGGTGTTGTCGCGCGAGTACTGAATAGCGGTGTTGTCGCGCGTGTTCTGATCAGCTGTGTTGTCGCGCGAGTACTGAATAGCGGTGTTGTCGCGCGCGTTCTGATCAGCTGTGTTGTTGCTCGCTTACTGTAAAGCGGGGAGGGGGGGTTGAGCGCGCATACTCAAGAGCGGTGTTGTCGCGCGCCTACTGAAGGTCGGGACGGAGGGTGTGTCGCGTCGTGGGGGCACTTTTGATCATTTTGGAAGGGCACTTTCTATCCAAGACTAAAAAAGGTATGTGCACTGCACAGGTTGAGCCCTATGTGTGCACGTGCCTGGAAGTTGGGGAATACGACTAATAACAGTCATGGGGACTGCAGAAACACAGCACACTGTTCAGATTGATGCAGACATTGACTTGTACCGCAAAGAGACCTCTATCTCACTCATGGCTTGTCCTCTTAAGTGGGGGAAAGACAATGCACAACGTTACCCACTGCTGTCAACCTTGGCCAAGTCTATATCTCTGTCCCAGAAACCTCAGTCCCAAATGAGAGGGGTTTTTTCTGTTGCCGGGGACATTGTAAATACCCAGAGATACCAGCTTTTACCAGATTATATTTATATCATAATTTTCCTTAAAACCCATCTCTATCTAAGTGAGTGAGTGATTAAATGTTAAATGTGATGAGTTTTCAACAATACTAAATTGAAACTTTATTTTTTTACATGGTTTAATAATTTTTTGTTATTAAAATTGAAGTTGCTGTTTCAAAGCTTACAGATAGATGGCTAATTTGTATGTCATTGACACTTTTGGCACTTTTTTGGAGTATTTTCATAAGTTTTGTTTTTTTCCTGTAAATGATTCAATAAATACCGTACCGTGACATTCATACCGAGGTATTACCGTACCGTGAAATTCTGATACCGTTACATCCCTACAAATAACCCAAAACCAAACCTGCATTCTGATAGTATAGTAACCATATTAGGACAGGTGCATCCCAAATCACACACTTATGCACTATTCTATGGCATTTTGTAGTATAAATAGTGCAAGAAGTGCATTCACATTGAAAACTCTAAAAATCATAAGTGCACTTTAATTATCCGGATGATGCACTTATTCAACCGGTAATGTGAAGTGTGGAATGATGAACACTTCACGCACTTAACAACCGCAGCTTTGCCCACATAATGGAAAGGGGGAGGTTTCGGTGCTTATGTCAATTTAATATTCCTCCTCAGTAGTTGGAGTTACAATGTAACAAGGACACCTTAAAATAGAGTAACCAAAAATGAAAATGGAAAATTACGCCATGGCATTATCAGAAAAAAACATTTAAAAAGTAGTCACAAAAAGTACATAACTATTATCAAAACCTAAACTGCAATAAAAAAGAAAAATCAATGAAAAATTAAAGTAGTAATAGCAACAAATAGGTACATGAGTAATCCTAAAATAACAGATATACACATTTATACACATCTTTGTAAATTTTTAGATACATTTACATACAGTGAGATTACTGATGCTGGTAATAACTGACCCATGTTGATGTTAGTTTTTTTCTTTGTGTATTTATTTTTCTCACCCTCTCCGCTTCTTACTCAACCCTTGTTGTGTCGGTTCCACCAATCTCCGGACAAGCCGCAAGCATTTAAAGCCTCAACAGACCAGTATGTGGTGTGCGTTCTGCCACGGTATACCTTTTGTGCTCCACACAATTTGTTTTTGACATGCTTAATCTGTTTAATGATTCATTATCTCAGTTTACTGTAGTAATTCGAGTTTGCTTGTTGAACTTCGTTGGCATTGAGTAAAATAATGTAATGGTTGTTGTGCGATTCTAAACTGAGCCTTTAACCGTCTTGTTAGGTTTGTTTTAGTTTAGATGGATTTTTGTTAGATTAGTTTGAGTGTTTTCCACCAGTGTAATTTTGAGTTTTGTAGTTTATTTAGTTTAGTTCGGGTGTCGTGTACAAGATCTCAGTTTTATTTTCATTATTTCTTTTTTGACGCCTAGTTCAGACTTTAGATTTAAGGAGAATTGTTTTGTTTTGTTCATTTCTTTGATTTGGCTTGCACTAGTTGTTTTTGTTTAAAGAGAATAATTGAAAATGTTTGATACTTTTTTCATTTATTATTGTTACACATTGTTTAAACTATTGAGTAAAAAAAAAGCTTTAATACAGAATTGATTCCTGCCTCATCCTTCATCTGTCGCACACATTACACCTGTCTCACCTAAATGTTACAGCATCCCACTTGAACATCTTAAACTCGTAACAACACCCATTTTAATACAACACACCACATATCTGCATAATACCATTATTCAACAAAAGTCATCAACCTGTATTACTGTTCTATCCACATATTCCAATATGATGAAGATTTGTGTATGTAAATCGCCTTGACAGTTAGTTTTAGTGTAAATGATATTCAGATAATATTGCGGCTAGCTTGTTATTACATTAGTATAACTGTTTTTTACTGTATTTCCCATTCATATAAACAGACATAAACTTTCAATGTTCTTGCAGCTGAATGTTTATCGCAAATTTCATTGATAACATAGATGTTATGTGGGTATTTTTTGCTGAAGTGAGATACAAAGCGAACTAATCAGTTAGCAATCTATATCCGATTAACAAGACCCGTTACATTTGCACTGTAAATATCGGTAAAACAGCCCGGTTTGAATGCTGTTAAGTGTGTAAGTGCATAAGAACATAGTGCATAAGTGCATAGTGTATAGTGTGTCATTTGGGACGTAGCTAAAGCAAGAACATGTCATTAATTAATATTCCTCCTCAGTAGTTGGAGTTACAATGTAACAAGGACACGTTAAAATAGTGTAACCAAACATGAAAATGTGAAATTAAGCCATGACAACATCAGAAATAACATTTAAAAAGTAGTCACAAAAAATACATAATTATTATCAAAACTTAAACTGCCATAAAAAAGGAATGACAATTAAAGTAGTAATAGCAACAATTCAGTACATGAGTAATACTAAAATAACAGATATACGCATGCATCTTTGTAAATTCCATGCAAATGTCAACCTTGCCAAGAAAAAATTTAAGTTTTCAAATAGAGAAAACGTTCCTACATTTTTTGTGTAGGATTGTATTTTAAAGTACTATAAAAATGCTCAAAAATGTCTCTGCGAATGTTTTCAAACATTTATATTTGATTTACCAAAAGCACACAAGTGGCAATTTCACATCTGTCACATCCATAATAACAGAGCTTTTCCCTGATAAATGCAGAAATGTCAAATAAAATAAAATAAATTATGTTTGTTCTATAGTGAGATCTTTTTAGATCCTTTTGATTAGTATAATTTATTTTGGGTTGTGCAGTTTATTTCACAGAATTTCTACAAAGTTTGTTGTTTACTGTAAACTCTATACTGTAAAATGTTTGTCACATCTATAACGCATGTTCATTTTCCTCATTTGAAATATAAAAAATGTTTACAGATTGATATTTGCCATAACTCTGTGGTCAGTTGTTTTAAAAATATAAAAACAGTTGTTTCAATATATTGTTAACATCTACTTTCTCTGTGAATTTATGTGTTGAGTTTTTACTCCAAATGTCACAAGCATAACGCTGGAATTGCTCATATACATAAATGTACATATTGTATGCATATTTCACTTCACTTAACGTTACAGAGTAATCCGTTACAAATCAAAAGTAACGTTACAGTGAGATTACTGATGCTCGTAATAACTGACCCATCACCGCTATGCTAAACTAGCGGTTCAACACCCATTTTTATACATCACACCACAAATCTACATAATAACACTATTCAGCAGATTTCATCAACTTTTATTACTCAAATGTTATTACTGTACTGTAGTCAGATTACTTTACAATTATGATTTGTGTATGTAAATCGCATTGACAGTTAGTTTTAGTGTAAATGATGTTCGGATAATATTGCGGCTAGCTTGTTATTACAATAGTATAACTCCTTTTTAGTGTATTTCCCATTCATATAAACGGCCGTAAACTTAATATGTTCGTGCAGTTGAATGTTTATAGCAAATTTCATTGATAACGACGTTGTTATGTGCGGATTTTGTAGCAGACATGAGATACAAAGCGAGCTAATCGGTTAGCAATCTGAGCCCGATTAACGAGGCCCGTGACATTTACGCTGTATATATTCGTAAAACGGCACGGTAGCGCAAGCAATGTGGTCGATTTGTGTCCAATTGTTAGATCTGTTTCTGTTTGCGGATGTTTTTTTCCTCGTTATTAGCGTATAATGGGTGATTTTAGCTGGTATTACCTGAGTGAGGGTCGCGAGGGCTGCCATCTTTTCCCTGTTGCTGCGGAAACGGCGGGTGAGGGAATGATGGGGGGCTGAAGACGAGCGGATTAAAATATTGTTGAATATTCTTGTCGAATGTGTTTTATTATAGTACTTTATATTTCAGATATGCCCTGCAGTGTTGACAAATGGATGTACTTATAAAATATTTATAAAGTAAACAAGACTTTAAATGAGCCCCTTTTAATTTTTTTTATATTTTTAACAGCCTATTTCCCAAATTATGTTTAACAGAAAAAGGAAATTTCCACAATATGTCTGATAATATTTTTTTCTTCTGGATAAAGTATTATTTGTTTATTTTGGCAAGAATAAAAGCTTTTTTTTTTTTTTTACATTTTAAGGACAAACCTATTAACCCCTTTAAGATATTTTTCTACTGTCTACAGAACAAATCATTGTTATACTAATATATAACAATGTTAAAAATTATATATAATATATAATAACTTGTCTAATTATCCTAATCTGCCTAGTTAAACTAGTTAAGCCTTTAAATGTCACTTTAGATATGTCTTGCAAAATATCTAGTAAAATATTATTTATTGTCATCATGGCAAAGATAAAATAAATCAGTTATTAGAAATTAGTTATGAAAACTATTATGTTTAGAAATATGTTGAAAAAATCTGCTCTCCGTTAACAGAAATTGGAGAAACAAAAATAAACAATCAGGGGGGTTAATATATCTGACTTCAACTGTATACTATCTTTTATGTAGTATTATAATAAAGTAAATAGATGATGCAGGATATAAATATGTATGATAAAGGAAAGTATCATATATCCAAGGGTGGATTTAGTGATTTTTGGGCCCTAAGCAATTCCAGCCATACATGGGTCCCAAGTCCTGAAATGCACCCTTTCTACTTTTATTATTTTTATTATTCCGGGGTAGCCACAGTGGAATGAACCTCCAACTTATCCAGCACGTAAGGTTTTTACGCAGCCCTTCCAGCTGGTTCCTATCTCTGGGAAACATCCTCACTCATTCACACTCAATTTACCTATACCGCATGTTTTTAGACTGTGGGGGAACCGGAGCTCCTGGAGGAAACCCACGCGAACACAGGGAGACCATGCAAACTCCACATAGAAACGCCAACTGACCCAGCCGAGGCTTAAACCAGCGACCTTCGTGCTGTGAGGCGACAGCACTACCTACTGTGCCACTGTGTCACCCCTTTCTACTTTTACTTAAATATTATTTATATTGCTGTTTGTTGTATCACTCAATCTTCTTTTCTACATTTTAAATGATTAATTTTTTATTTTAAAATTCATTGACATCTTAAACATATTTTTCTTTTATCAATTTGACTGTTGGATTGCTCCATGAAGGATATTTTATTTTGTTATATTATTATTATATAACATTACATTATTATTTTAATATATTTGATTGATTAATTTCCCAGAGATGGGTTGCGGCTGGAAGGGCATCCGCTGCGTAAAAACATGCTGGATAAGTTGCGACCCCGGATAAATAAAGGGACTAAGCCGACAAGAAAATGAATTAATGAATTAATATTTGATTGAATATCAAATAATATTCATTTATGTTCAAATTGTATTTGTTTAACTCTCACCATGCAAAATATGATAGAATACGATGTTAAATAGTTTATAAGTATAATTTATATTTCTAGATATTTACTGGGAACCCCCAGATTTCCTGGGGTCCTATGTGGCCACTTACCTCGCTCATTGGTTAAAACTGCCCCTGCATATATTTATTGTATAATCTTATTCTTCATATAGATATATCAATGTTGATCAATGAATTTAGCAAATTATAAATATGTAAAAAAAATTACATTTCTTTTTTAATTTAAGTAAAATATTATTAAGAAGTATTAGTGTTTTAACAACACATTGTGTATTTTATTATTATAGATTATATGTCGTATATGTCAGGGTTGATAAATTAATGTACTAATAAAACATAAATAAAATCAATAAGACATTTAATGTTGATTAAATATATTTTATATGTACGCTTTATTAGAAAAGTAATATTATATATAATAAATGATTATATTTTATCATATTGTATTTTATTGTATTTTTAAATCTAATAAATTATATTAATGTTGATCATTAAAGTTAGCAAAATATTTAAAATATATACAAATCTTCTTCTTTGCCGTTTTCAATATAAATAACATGATATAAATTGGATTTTAATAAATATAATCCTTAAATCATATCTGTTGACACCGTTTATTACATGTATTAATAAAATAAAAAATAATCATATTTTATTTTTATTATATAAATATATTTTATTATATTGCATATTATTTTATTATACATGAAATCAGCTGATATTGAGCAATGAGTTTAATAATCTAAAATAACTAAATAAATCATAAAAATTTAAAATTGTATTGTGTATTTTTTTGTTATATTAAACAACAGATCTGTCGATCTTCATAAATATTGTCATGAAATAAAATAATAATAAATTAAGTTAGATGTACATTTTTAAATATGTATAAATTATTATTATAATGCATTGTTATTTAAAAGTTATATTTTATTATGATATATTGTATAATATTAATAATAATATCAGTTTAGCCATTGATCAATGAAATATGTACAAAATATGAAAATATGTATTTAAAAAGATTTTTATTAAAACGTATGTCTACATTAATATTATATAAACATAGCAGGTGTGAAGTATTTCTAGAGTAAAATAAAATATAGGGTCGAAAATGTACAATTAATTCAACAGTTTTCTACAATAAATATGTATTCTCGTCCTATCAGCCATTCAAAACCACTCCGCGAGCAAGCTGGGACCGGTTCCTTTATGCTGATTGGTCGAGAGCCCCTCGCAAGTCTATTTCTATTGGTTGAGCCGCCCTGCAGCAGCGCCCCGCCATTGGAACCTGGAAACAGCGCCACAATTTATTTTCGAGTTGTTGCGTTTGTTGAATGCCCTCGTCTTGTGTTTCATTGTTTATTGACAACAACCGGTATTTCTCCGTTTTCTATCACGCCAAACGGGTTAAATTATTAACCCAGAAATCATTAGTCGCGTCTTGCCGCGGTTAAAACCGCTCGAGAGCCTGGGAGGACAGTTTTAACATATTTGTGGTTCATATTCACGCTCACACCCGTACGACTTTCGATTAAAACACGACGAAGGCATGTGCAAACCGTCCAAACAACCTGCAGGTGAGAGTTTGCACATCATAACATTAACGGATTTATAAGAATATCTGAAATGTGCGTGATTGGTTTAGTGGTTCTTATACTAACCAGTCGATTGTACTAACACACGTTAGCATGCAAGCTAAGTCACCGAACCTGCCAAACTTCTGTAAATGTTACGTTTGGATAGCTTATCTAAGATGTTTTAAATATGCATTGTTTTACAGTTATTAGGGATAACTTTATGTTCAAGTCGCGGTCAGTATAATAAATTGCCTTGTTTCAACAGGATGAACCGTGTACAAGTGGATTTTAAAGGGTTGCCAGCCCACATCTTGGAGAACAGCATTGCAGCAGAAAGCCTTCAAAACACTAGGTAACTGTTTTAAATGCATTTTGTCTAAGTCACCATATAAGTTCAATAAATGTAATGACTTTACATATTTTCTTAAAGGTCATCAGACAATGTTCTCACTCCATTGACATTTCCAAAATCTAAAGTGGCTCTGTGGGATCCATCTGCCAATGGTGAAGTTGTGAGTCTGCATTTCTCGTATTACAGGTTAGTCTTTCATTAATCTATTTGGTGAATCCTTTTTTTTAGGGTTGCACTTTATTAGAAAAATTCTGACATTGCAATTAATTCGTTTTTATGTGTTTATATATATATATTGTGTGTGTGTGTGTGTGTGTTTATGTATATATATATATATTAGGGTTGTCGCAATACCCTTAATTCATATTATGATTTTATACCAGCTGAAGTATCACAATACCAAGTAGTGTTGCAATACTGTAATTCATAACTCAAATTATAAACAAAATTGTCAGAAATGCTATATTTTACATGTCATAATAGGCCTTGAGTTTAATGAATAATTTCCTAATTATTAAAATATATATATATGTTTTTGCCTGTCACTTCAACTAAAATTCATTCATTCTATTTGTTTATTTTGTAGATAACTGACCAACAGAAATTCATTAAAATAAAGATGCATATTATAACAAATGAAATTGCATTTTTCCCAAAAATAGGCTATATTGAGTGCTCAAAAATTGTTTCAGTGTTTCCTGTTGCTATTTTGCGTTTTTCATTCATTGTTTTTTTTTTATATATCAGGTAACAATCCAAAGTAATTCAAAATTTCACTTTGTGAATTGTTTTTTTAAGAGATTATGGCTGTTTTTGTAGCTTCTAAATCATATCGAGAGGAACAGAAATAAACTCATTCAGATGTGCATTTGAAACATCAGGAAACATTAGAAAACTTGCAACCTTAAAGAGCTCCACAGACTATTAAAATAGGAAAAAGGTTGATTGTTGCACAAACGTGTGAACGTTCTAGTGACTTTTTCACATCAAACATTATCTATTCTAGATGGACCATTAATGGCGATACTACCGTTTACAAACTACAGTAGCACCGTCAGTGTTTTGTAGCCATAGTATTGCAATACTACTGTAGTACTGATAAACCGTGCAACCCTAATAGTTAATGCAATTTATATCAATGCAATATAAACAATGACTATAATAGCTCTATTTAGAAATAATGAATTATTTCAAACTGGTTGTTATGCTTTTGCAAACAATATATTGTGCAGCTCTATTTTTGTCACACAGATACACTAGCACAAAAGGATTACTAATAATGAAAAAGAAATAAAGTAAAGAGTAAAGAAATTCAGTTTCCATTTAGCCTTATGTCAGTTGTACAAATGAATCATGATGCCTTGGCATTTAACTTAAATAAATGTTTCCATGCATTTGAATCATGACTATTATATCAAGTTTTTTTTATGTCTTGGATGCAGATAAAAAGATTATCTTTAAAAATAAA